AGGGAGTCCAGGTGGTTGAGTATCAGAGTGTTCCATCTCGTTTCCCTTTGGGGTGGCTGTAGGTGATCTGGAAGTCTGGTTTTGAGGCTTGTTTATGTGTCTTCTCATTTCCATGGTGAAGTGGGGGGTGCTGCTGGTGCCTGTGCAGCTTACCTCCTTTGTGCTGGGAGTGGTGGTATGTTGGCCCAGAAGCCTCCTACTCTGCACTGGGAGCTGCGGCATGTTGACCCGGAAGCCTCCTCTGCGCTGGGAGCAGTGGTACATTGGCCTGGAAGCTCCTACTCTGCAGTGGGAGAGGTGGCACATCGATCCAGAAGCCTCCTCCTCTGTGCTGGGAGCTGTGGCACAACAACCTAGAAGTCTCATCTGTGTTCTCAAACATTTTTTTTTAAATGCTGGAGATGTTGCCCAGTGCAAAGGCTTTGAGTTCAATTCCCAGTACTACCAAAAAAAGAGTTGGGAAAAGATAGGACAACAGCCAGACAAAAATGCTTGGTTCACCTCTTCTCAGCATATACTTATGCTTGATTTAGAACCATTTTGACTCAAATGGAGAGTTCATTGAGGAAGGAACCAAAAGCTGAAGTTGTAAAAGTGGGTAAGGGTCCAACTTCACACTAGCCAGAATCTAGGTGAGGGGGTGGAATTCTACCTTGAACATAAAAGCTTATGAACAGAAGCATGTGAGGACAACAAACATCTCTACTAAAGTAACCTTGTCATCTGGAACAATGAAAATCTACCAAGTTTTAAACTTGTATTTGTTGATTTACTGTAGCCATCTCTTACAAACATGACATAGCTGTATCAATCAAATTTCATTTGAAATACAAGGGGATTACCTTTGACACATTAAGAAAACTTATGTGGTAACTATTAAATCAATTAGAACAGTACCTTTCTCCACCACAGCAGTCGATGACGCAACCAGAAATCAAGCCACTGGCTTGAAGTTCTTGAAGAAGTAAACCATACCAATGAAGCTTCAGTCTTCTCACCAATTCTTCAAACAGCAAAAATATCAAAGTTAGCTCATCTGAAAACTATAAAATCTGTCCCAAAAGACTGGTCTTAACTATTAAAATACGAGGCCAAGTTAATTGTCACATTTTATACCTTTCAACACCATTAGGTATCTGCTCAGTATCAGAAACAGGATAAAAACACACTCCAATCTGAGCAAGGCCATATGGAAGCTTCTTGTTTACCAGATCCAGGCAGTTAACATAGTGCTCCAAGGCACCTGTTAAAAGACAAATCCATCACTTTATAAATCTATTCCACCAAACAAAACCATCTGTGTCAACCTATAGACAAATGAGTAGCATAACAATGTTAACACAGCAGTACAAGCAGCATGGAGCTAATATTATCCTAATTACCACTTAATCTAAGGTACTTTCTCAACTTTTTAGTTTGAAGATTTTCAAATCTACATGAAAGTTGAAGTAGTATAATACACTCCTTCACCAAGATTCATCAATTATCAACATTTGCCGTGTTTTCTTTTTTGTGTTGACTTCTAAACACTTCAGCATGCATCTCCTAAAACAAAAATATTCTCTGTATACCTTCATTGTACCATAAAGTTAACCATATCCCATTATATCACCTAACATATGGTTGATATTTTATTTGTTCCAATTGTCAACCAAAATTTTTTTTGCTCTTCTCTAATTAAGGTTTATATGCATTTTGATTAGTTCTCTTCAATAATTCTGAACATTTCCCCTGACTCTTTCCCTTCAACCCTGCTTCCAGTGACAATGGCTTTGGATTTGAGTCCAGGCTAGTCATAAATTATCTCACACTTGGGATTTATCTTATAATTTGAGTTAATTACTGTTAGCAGGAATACATTGTTGATATCTATATCTTACTGAATCATAACAAGAGAAATACAGTATCAAATTATCCCATTATTGACAAAAGCAAACTGATCATTTGGTTAAGGCAGTACAGGTAGTTGTGCTGTTGCTGCTGCACTGATATTATCAATTGATTAAAAATGTTTACCTTTCGTTTTGACTTTGGGGAAGAGCCAGAAGTTGTATGGTACCAGATCCGGTAAACAAAGTGGATGAAGACTAATCATATTTACCTGCCTGTCTTTCCATTGGATGATACTTGGCAGTAGCATTCACTGTATTTTTGATCACCTCTTGCAAAGACACTCATAAAAAAGGACTTCTAGAACTGCTTTGAAAAGTGGTAAGAATGATGGGATAAGTATGTTCAAAACAAGGGGAAGTATCTTGTTGGGTTTTTTTGTTTTATTTTTGTGGTATAGAACTCAGGACTGTGCGCTTGCAAGGCAGGCGGTGGCACCACTGAGCTAAATCCCTGGCCCAAGGGTATTTTGAATGAGACTAAGGCAATGTATTTTTTACTATAATTTTAAAAAAATTTAAGCATTCACCATATATTCTGATTAACCCTTGTAAATATCTATTCAACAATATCTTACTCCCCAAGATCTTTCACTCAATAACTTAGAATTTGTTGATGATATTTGTTTGAATCCATCATATTGGGGGCTACAAACTAAAATGGTGAATTTTTGAATCTACATTTCCTTCTGTATTTACTGCATACCTTCTGTAAAAACAAACTTTCTCTGTTTCTTCTTCTGTACCCCAGACTGTTATTTTTTAAATCACACTATGTACTCCAAGATTTTATTTTACTGTGTGTTTTGATCCACTGCCATCAGTATTTACTTTAATACTTAGTTTGTGCCAAATTTAGCCAGTGGCAGTACTCTTCAAGTCAGCATCTGTGTCCCATGGACATGATTCACTAATCTCCAAACAATTCTTTGCTTTCTAACCATTAAGTGTTCCAAACTCACCCCAGATCTGGAAATAGCCATTTCTCCAATGTTATGGCTTGTGTCCAGTTGTCCCCCCAACACCTCATGTGGTCATAGGTAGGGTTTTTTAGAGGTGGCTGGCTCTAGAGTGCATGATCCTGGAATTAGGTATGTAATACTGGGATCAAGGGTATGTGATTACTAAATTACTCCACTGATTGGTTTGCTATAGTTCCGGATGTGGATAATGGGAAGGCCCACCCTGGGTGTAAGTGCTACCCACCCTAAGTGCATGTATCCTGGGTAAGAAAAAGAAAGAGTTGCTGCCTCTTGCTGCTTCACTACTTAGTTGCTTCCTGCCTTCTGCCCACCATGAGCTGTTTCTTCTCTGCAACACCCCTTTGCCATGCCACCCTGCCTTAAAGGCAGTCAACTATGAACTGAAACCTCTACAAACTATGAGCTACAATAAACCTTTCCTCCTTTAACTTTGAGTGTTGGATATTTTGTCTCAGCAACAAAAGAAAAGTAACTAACACATTCAAGCACTGGTTCATTTTACCTAACTTATCTTCCAGCAAGTTTACTGTTTCTGTCTTGATATTTAGCTCTTTAATCCACTTTGATCTTAGTTTAGTGCATGGTGATAAGGTGTGGGTCTAGTTTTAATCTTTGGCAGGTTGAAATCCAGTTTTTCCAACACCATTTATTGAACAGGCTATCTTTTCTCCAATGAGGGTGATTGGCTCCTTTGTCAAAGATGAGGTGGCTGAGTATGTCTGGAGTTATTTCTGCATCTTCTAATCTAGTCCACTGATCCTCGGGTCTGTTTCTTTGCCAGTATCATGCTGTTTTTATCACAGTAGTTTTGTAGTATAGTTTCAAGTTGGGGATTGTGATACCCCCAGCCATGTCTCTGTTGCCCAGAATTGCTTTTGCTATTCTAGGTTTCTTCTGCTTCCAAATGAATTTTTGGATTGTTTTCTCTAGTTCTCTGAAGTATATTGTTGGAATTTCAATCAGTATTACATTAAATCTATATAGTAGTTTTGGAAGTATGGCCATTTTCACTATATTGATTCTTCCTACCCAGGAACAAGGGATATCTTTCCATTTTCTTATATCCTCTTCGATCTCCTTCAGAGTGTTGCAGTTTTCAGTGTAGAGGTCTTTTGCTTCCTTTGTTAGGTTGATTCCTAGATATTTCATTTTTTTAGATGCTATTGTAAAAGGAATTATTTCCCAAATTTCTGTTTCAATGGGTCTACTATTTGCATATAAGGCCATTGTTTTTTGAGTGTTGACTTATATCCAGCTACTCTACTGAATCTGTCAATTAGGTCTAGAAGGCTTTTGACTGAGATTTTTGGGTCCTCTACGTAAAGTATCATATCATCAGCAAATAACGACAGTTTCACTTCTTCCTTTCCTGTCTTTATTCCTTTTATTTCTTTCTCTTGTCTAATTGCTATGGCTAATGTTTCCAGAACAATATTGAACAGGAGAAGTGAAAGTGGGCATCCTTGCCTTGTTCCTGATTTTAGCGTGAAAGTTTTCAGTTTCTGACCATTTAGTATGATGTTGGCTGTTGGTTTTTCATAGATAGCAGCCTTAATCAGGTTGAGATAAAGACCTTCTATTCCAATTTTCTGTAGCATTTTTATCATGAATGGGTGCTGGATTTTGTTAAATGCCTTTTCTGCATCTATTGAGATGATCATATGGTTTTTGTCCTTGACTCTGTTAGCACTGGTTCATTTTTAAAAACCAAGTTCTGGGAACTAGGTGTGCTAACTGCTATTGAATGACATTGCTTCTATGCCGTTTCAATGAAAATAGTTAGGAAATTAAGTATTTTTTTTTAAAATCATGGATTCATACTGATATTACTAGTCACACTTGACATTAGTTTACCCTAGTCTTTTACATTTTTTAATCTTTTATAGTGAAAATCTTGATTCTAATAACATTAGCCTATTTGTTCTTACAATATACATGAAACAGTTTCAAAAGTCCAATATTTCTACTTAGAACAAAGAAAGTTCAAAATGTCTGTGGAGCCAGGCATGGTAGTACGTTCCTGTGATCCCAGTACTGGGGAAGATGAAGCAGTAGGATCACCATGAGATTGAGGCCAGCCTGGGCTACATAGCTGAGTAAAGGCCAGCCTGAACTACCTAGCGAGACCATTTCACTCCCCTTCCTGCCCCACTAAGTCTCATTGTTCTTTATGCACTTAGACTACATCCCAATGGATGATAGCATTGTGCTCTCTGATTTGGGTAGACTAGGTTGTAAATAATGAGAAAGGCCTAAAAATCTGTGTAAGACAAGAGCTACCTAAGCAGCAAGGAACTTGAGGGTCCAAGATCTAGAGCATGGAGAAGAAAGGTAAACTCAACATCTAATGCTACTTTTTAAATTCTCAGGTGAAAGAGCTGAGAAGCTGAAATGCTAAGCTCAGCTTCCTACTATATGCTGAGACTGAGATTTACACAAATTTTACTTCCTGGACCACCAAGAAAAGTGGCCCTGGTAAATACACCAGGCTTTCATTGGGGACACTTAGAAGGTTACACTCAAAAAGAGGATAGAGATGAAGTGAAAAGAATGAAGCCCAACTTCTAACCAGCCTAGTCCCAGATTATCAAGAAGATATGCCCCCAAGGCCGGGGATTTAGCTCAGTGGTTTTGCCGCCTGCTGCGCAAGTGCAAGGACCCAAGTTTGATCCCCAATACCAAAAAAAAAAAAAAAAAAAGATATGCCCCCACCCTAGCTTCCTACCAGAACCAAAAGTCCTCTCAGGAAGAATAAATCATTGCTTAACAGAGTAGGTGTATCTAACCTGTGGCCCACAAGCTGGACATAGCTGACCAAAAGCTTCAGTTTATTTCTTCAACATTTTATACATAAATTATCTAGGATGTAAAAGAAAAGCCCAAATGACCAAAAGTCCACAGGAAAATAGAGAGTAGAAACAGATATATATGTATTATTAGACATGGACTTTAAAAGGTGATTTATGTATTCAAGTAAGTTGATCACAAAATAAAGGAAAGATCTAAAGTGTAATTAGTCACAGACAAAAGAATGATAATAGGGCGGTAACTACATTTGGAAACAGAATGGCTAGGAATTTTAAAAGAAAATTTAAAAGCTATTCATAAACAGGCTGTCACAACAGTTCAGACCGAGGACAAAAGAGAGCAAAAGCACTGGGAACAAAAGAAGAGGCAAATTGGGTAATTCTAAGCTAAAAACACCAAACAGCCAAAAGATTTGGAAAGTACATGGATTTAAGTTTCCTAAAGGCAAGAAAATGTCTGGCACATACAACACATGCTTCGTCTAAGAAAACTAAGTCTCATTTTCTAAGTTTGTGACTTAGATAATGTTAGATTTCATCTAACAGAGATTAGAAAGAGAAGACTAATTTGCTTGAGGATATGATAAATGTGCAGTGATTTAATGCCCCCAAAGTAAAGCCATCATGAAATAAAGTACTACAAAATTATCACATTGATCACCAGCTTTTTTTAGTTTGTTTTATTTCTTAAGGAAATCTTTAAAAGGCTACTATAGTACAGGCACTAATTTTCACAACCATGGATATTGAGAATATTTAAAATTACTCCATAGTTCCAAAATGGGAAGGGCAGAATTTCTCCAAGATGATCAGTGCAGGACAAGGATGTTCAATCTCGCTATATTCAATGCAGTTCTTGAAATTCTAGCTAGACCAACTAGGCAAGAGAAAGAAAAAAAAGGGATATAAATAGGAAAGGGAGAAGACAAATTATCCTTGTTTGCAGACTCTAGATTCTGCCAAAAGACTTTTAGAGCTGATAAATTCAGCAAAGTAACAGGATATAAATTCAACATTAAGAAAAAATAGCTCTTTTACACATCACTAATGAATTAGTTGAGAAAGAAATCAGGAAAAGCATTCCATTCACAATAGCTTCAAATAAAATACCTGCTAATCTATCTAACCAAAGAGGTAAAAGACCTCTACAAAGAAAATTTCAGAACACTGAAGAAAGAAATTGAAGAAGACACGAGAAGATGGAAAGACTCCTATTCACAGATTGACAGAATTCATATTATTAAAATGGTCATATTACCAAAAGTGATCTACAGCTTCAATGCTATCTCCATCAAAATACCAATGACATTCTTACAGGAAAAGAGAAAATAATCCTAAAATTTGTATGGAAACACAAAAGACCCAGAATAGCCAAAGCAAACCTAAAAGCAGGGCTGGGGATGTAGCTCAGTGGCAGTGCACCTGTCTGGCAAGGGCAAGGTCCTGAGTTCGATCCCTGTACTGCAAAAACAAAAACAAACAAACAAACAAACCCCAAAAACAAAAAAACTGAAGGGCAAGGCTGATCAAAATATCTGATTTCAGCTGGGTGTGGTAGCACACACCTATAATCCTACCACTCTGGGAAGATGAGGCAGGAGGACCACAAGTTTAAACCTGTGTAAATTAGTCTCTCAAAATAAAACTAAGAAAGGGATGTACTGCAGTGTGAAGGCCCTGAGTTCAATCTCTAGTACTAGAAAGAAAAAAAAAAGGAGTTTGAATTATATTACAAAGTCATAGTAACAAAAATAGCATGGTACTGGCACAACAATGGACACATAGACCAATGGTACAGAATAGAGGTCACAGAAACAAACCCATGGCAATTACAGCCATCTGATTCTGGACACAGGAGCCAAAAATAACACATGGTACAGGGCATGGCGATGGTGCACACTTGTAATTCTACCACTTGGGAGGCTGAGGCAGGAGGATTGCTTCGAGTTCGAGGCCAGCCTGGGCTACAAGTGAGCTCAAGGTCAGTTTGAACCACACAGTCAGACCCTGTCTCAAAAAACCAAATCAGGGCCAGGGATTTAACTTAGTGGTGCTGCCACCTGCCTCGAAAGTGCAAGGTCCCAAGTTCAATCCCCGGTACCAAAAAAAAAAAATCAAACCAAACAAAAACAAAAGCACAAATGGTGCTGGAAAAACTAGATTTGGATATCCACTTGCAGAAGCCTGAAACTATAGCCCTCTTACCCTGTACAAAAATCAATTCAAAATGGATCAAAAGCCTAGCTATAGCCGAGGATTTAGCTCAGTGGTTCCACTGCCTGCCTCACAAATGCAAGGACCTGAGTTCCATCCCCCGTACCAAAAAAAAAAAAAAAAAAGCCTAGCTATAAAGAACCTGAAACTTTGAAACTGCTTGAAGAATACACAGGGGAAATACAAAGTCATAGGCACAGGCAAAGACTGCCTGAATAGGACTCCAATAGCATGAGAAGTACTAGCAAGAATCAACAAATGGGACTACATCAAATTAAGTTTTTCTGCACAGCAAGGGAAACAATGAACAAAGTAAAGAGATAGCCTAGAGAATAGGAGAAAAATCTTCACTAGCTACTCTTTTGATAGAGGATTAATATCTTGAATATATAAAGAACTCTAAAACACAACACCAAAAACTCAAATAGCCCAATGAATTGAACAGTACTTAAAGAAATAGGAATGGCCAGTACCTGTATATGAAAAAATCCTCAATATCTTCAGCCATTAGGGACATGCAAATCAAAACCACATTGAGAGTCTCATCTCACCCCAGTCTGAGTGGCTATTGTCAAGAATACAAAAAAACAATAAACGTTGGCAAGGATTGGGAGGAACACTTCTACATTGCTGGTAGGAGTGTAAATTTGTACAGTCACTATGGCAATCGTTATGGAGGTCCCTCAGAAAACTAAAAACACAGCTGGATGTGGTGGCACATGCCTGTAATTCTAACTCTTGGAAGGCTGAGGCAGGATTGCTGCAACTGGAAGGCCAGCCAATGATAGTGAGACTGTGTTTCAAAAAACCAAACCAAATTAAACAAAATCAAAAATAGCTAAAAATAAAGCTACCATTTGATCCAGTTATACCACATCCTGGTATACACTCAAAAGAATTAAAGTTAGTACACTATAAGGATACCTGCACACCTATGTTTACTGTGGCACAATTCACAATACCCAGTTATGGTACCAGCCTAGGTGTTCATGAAGAGAGAACTACAAAAAGAAAATGTGGTATATACACATAATGGGGTATTATCCAGCCATAAATAATGAAATTTTGCCATTTACAGAAAAATGGATAGACCTTGAGATCATCATGTTGAGTGAAATAAGCCAGGCTCAGAAAGACAAATATGTCATGTTCTTCCCAATATGTGAATCTAAAAGACGACAAGAGGGCCAGGGATTTAGCTCAGTGGCCATGCCCTGCCTCCCAAGCAGCAACGTCCTGAGTTCGATCCCCGATAACACACACACACACACACACACACACACACACACACACACAAAGACAAGAAAGTAGAATGGAGATCATTATTAGATAAGAGGAAAGGAATAAGGAGGGGAATGGTGAAAGAGTGGGTAATGAGGGGATGCATATGATCAAAGTACATTATACCACTGAAACCCCTCAAAAATGTGAAACTAAGCCAGGCATGGTGGTGCACGCCTGTAACTCCAGCATTTTCGAGGCTGAGGCAGGAGGACTGCATCAGGTTTGAAGCCAGTCTGGGTTATTTCGTGATTTCAAGGTTCGCTGAACTACATAGCAAGACCCTGTCAGGAAATAACAGAGAACAAAAAAGTGAAACTAGGCAGGAAGGCAGGGCAAAAGGGCGATGAAAATGATTAAAGTATATTATATGCATGTATGAATCTGCGAAAATGAAACCCATTAACCTGTAGAACCAATATGCACTGATAAAAAAATGAAAAAATTTTAAAAATGGTGTTGTTAAAAAAAATCGCCTTCAAAAAGACGAGAACCAGGTAACTTTCCTTGCGTGGGAATTAAGGGCCAGCTGCAATTCCCAAACTTGGGTGAGCTTGCGTTTCCACCCCAAACCTGTTTTGAAGCATGAAATCGTGAGGAATCATACCGTGAAGAAGATTCTCCCGTAGTTTCCCAGAAGTTTTTAATACGTTCTCAAGAAACGCTACTAGCCGTTTCTTACTCAGCTCTTTGTCTTGCAAAATTTCGCGTAGAGCTTCTGCAGAAACTAACCTGAAGGCCCTGTCCTCGGGAAGCGAAGGGCCTGGGCCGTGGTGCAGGGCGCCCACCGCGAAAACCTGCTCCCTGCACAAGACCACGGAGGACCACCATTGTGCGGCCAGATTCTTCCGCAACTCTACCCCCAGAGGTCCAAAGCCGGGGTGGCACCCGCTCAGAAGAGAATCTCGGCTAAGCTGCTTCTTGGTTCCGCTAAGAAAATGCCTTCTCTGACAGACCTCTAGCAGCGCCTCGCTGCCCTCTGTCGGCTCGCTCTCCGGGGGAAGCTCCATGTGGGACCTCAGGTCTCCTCCGAGGGTCTTACTCCTTTCCGTCAACGGGTCAGGCTGCCCCCCATCTATTCGACCCCCGCACCCAGACAACAGACGTCTGCAAACTTTGTGGCAGGCCCTGACCGCCGCATTACAGCGCATCTCTTTCAGGAGTTAAAGAACACCATGCTCTGTCCAATAAACCGCAACCACCATAGCGGTGACAGGAGCCCACGGCGCAGGCGTGACGGAAGTGAGCGCTTGCTCAGCCGGCCCCGCCCCCGGAAGCGAGTCACAGCTTCCCGGCAAGCTCCCCCTCTGGCTTGTTGCAAGCATGTTGGGCAGACGCTGTTAACGATGGGTTCCCCGCCCCCCTCCCAAGACTAGCAGTTGTTCGTGTTCAGCAGGTCCCCATCCTCCTACCCACCGCCGTCCAACTGCTGATCTTCTGGTCTTTCACCATCAGCACCCATAAAGGTTATTCCCACCTACTTTCCAATAGTGCTGTACCTACTGTTCTATTATCTTCAAACCGAAAATACTTTCTGCAAATAAGTTCAGGACCCGCACAGTAAGCTACATCTCCAGAATTTTTTGAGTCTTAGGTTACCCAGACAGGTCTCCAAGTCCCCATTTAATTACAAGTCCCCAGTCTTAGGGATCTACAAGAACGAAATTTGGTTCTAACTTCAGGTGGATGCCTGTTCCCAAGGGTGCACTTTTAACTTACTGTAGTTCCAAAAGGTTAGTTCTCTACCCATCCACATCCCTGAGTGCAAAGGTACCCCTCATGTACACCCAACTTCTACCATAGGACCCCTTCCCTGGGTTCGTGAAATCAGTGAAACCTGCCACTGTTAAGACTAGCAGGGTTGACAACTTTACATTCTCCATTTAGATGGTAAGATTTCACCGGAAAAGTACAGCCAAAGGGAATAAAACAGTCGATACCAAAGCCCATGTTACCAAATAGCTGCCCTCAACACGGTTATGGGTACTTTTAAAAAGGCCCAGTAAAATGAGCAGGTTCAGTTAATGTGGAGTTAAAATATTTGAGTTGGTAAGGTGTATAACAGGATCAGTAGACAATTCATAAGGGACATGCAGTGGTGGCGATTATTGTAATCAAGCACAAAGCTCATACCAAGTGTTTACACTCAAAACTCCTACCAGGAAAGAGGCCTTTACGCAAATAAAGAAAGGAGAGAATGGGAGAAAAATCACATTTATTAGTTAAAGACAACCACAGGCTGGACACAACACACATGCTAAAAAGTGGACTGTCTTTTAAAACTTCAAAGTTAAATAGGTAAATGGTTCCTTCCCCCCACAGCCCACAGTCATTTCCATGTTTACAAATTAGAAGGCTCATGTTGACATTAAACAGTAAAATATGTAATAAAAGCTCCAACCTATTCCAAAAGCTTTTTCTAAGTTAAAAAATCATGAATATGACTAACCATATGCCATTGAAAACCACTCAGTTTTCTGAATCAGTTTTCAATATTAGTAGTACTAGAAATACCACTCCCCATCCCAGCATATTGTTTTACATTTTAGAGGTAAGGCATTAATTAAAATCAAAGCCTGTTCAGTTACCAATTTAATGAAGCCTCTTGGAAGACCCCCTTTCCTGGTAAAACACACCAGATTGCCTGAGAAGACATTCAGGCCTACTTCTTAGCCACTGCTGAAATAAATTACAAGGGCTGGTGAGCCAAAGTTAAATCTAAAGCTACTCCCTATCGTTCTAGCAATGAACTTACATTGAACCTAACAAAGACCTGTACTGTATTCACTGGTTTTGGTTATAACTTCCTGATCAACCATTCTGATGAGGTTTTTTTCCCTTGTATTTTGAGTATAAATATACCTTACAGTTAAGTTTGAAGACCCCTAGAATTCCCTGAATTATTGTAAAGACATTCATGACTCCCAAAATGACTAGTTAAGAGCTCCAGAAAGTCTAAGACTAGATCTGTAAGCAACCTGCACTGAGGACACTGCAAATTCAATTCATAAGAGACTCAAACTTAGCTCTTGGCCTAAATCAAGTCTTCCAGCTTTGTTCATTTTGGTAATCCACAACATAGCTAAAAGCGTTGAGTATAATCTTTTGAAAAAGCTATTTGAAGTTCCTTAAACTGTAATTTTTAAGAGGAACAGTCATCCATGTTGTTCTCACCCTACACAGCTGATATTACTCCCTATTACACCTTAGTAGTTTTCATCTAACTTTTCTAATAAGGAAAATAGGCTATTAAAATAAACGTCCCTGATGTTGGAAGTGGAGAAAAGCTTTTGTGTAATTTGGGCTAGAGAAAAATTTACCTAGATCAAGTTCAATTCTTGCAAAATGAAGATTTTTTGAAAGGGCCTTGATACCCTACCAAGAATGGCAAGAAGCAGTCACTGTATGATTAAAATGAAAAACCCACACCATCTAAGCAAAGTTTTACAGACATCATATATGTAAAATAAAGTACAATTTCCACTAAGTCAGTCTTCAAATATCTTTTATTGGAAGGCCATGCATTGCCTTCATTTATTGTATTTCAAATCACTGTACAGTTACTTTTGTGAAAACACTGCCTGCATTGTCTAGTACAAAAAAAACCTAAAAATTGTTTTAGGAATGTAGAGAAATATCCAACTTAAATAGCGAAAAAGTGCACCATAATTACTGCTGCACTGCAGTCATTTCTGCATTTCCCATGTTTCTTAAATAACTATCTTGTCTGATAACACACAATATAAAGAGCAATTATGAAAAACAGACATTTACATATACTTCTAAAGTCTTATTGAGAATATCCTGTTGGCATTGGATAGCCAATCATAGGTGCAGCTGCAGTAGCAGGATATGCATATGCCTGTTGATTCATACCATTGTGCATATTTGCCACATTACTTCCATACTGCTGAGTGCTATCATAACCATTCTGGTAAGTCCCTGTTGGATTACCAGTCCTAAAACTGGTCTGTATACCAGCAGACACAAAATTACTTCCAAAGCTCCCATTGGTGTAATTTGCAGCAGCACTGTAAACACCATTCTGAGTTTTTGCCCCGAAATCTCTCTTAAGCAGACTAGAGTAACCTCTGTCGTAATTTTCCCTGTCTCTAAAGGTATTAAATCCTCCCCTTTTGCCCGCAGAGTATCTGTCCCGGCGGTCATCCTTCATGCCTCCTCTACCCCTGGAACGACCTGTTAAGAAAACAATCGCAAACTGATCAATTAAATCTATGGCACAAATCATCACTAACTGAAGAAAATGGGTAATTTTATTTATTCTAGGTTTGATGCATTTTTATCATTTCTCAAATTCACGCTTCTGAAGATTCTACTCACTCTCCAATCCCATTTAAATGGATTTGTAGGCAATGCTGCAATCCCAAAAACCAACATTTTTATCAAAGCCTAGTCTTACCTGAACCTCTGTCTTCAACCAACTGAAGCAACTTGGGATTAATTGCCTGATTAGCTTCACGAAGCACAGAGATAAGGTCGCTCACTTGCTTTATGTTATTAGGTGTAAAGAAAGTGTATGCTGTGCCTGTTTTGGTACTGCGAGCAGTTCTTCCAATTCGATGAATATAATCCTCTGAGGAGTTAGGGTAGTCATAATTGATGACAAATTTCACATCTTCCACATCTGTAAGGTGTTGCAGTGTGGCAAAATAGCAATGTACGGAGTTTTGCACACCACAACAGCCAGACCAAAAATAAAAAGTTAGACAATTGTATTCCCAAGAAGGTACGGGCTGCAAAAAATACAGTTAAAATGGTTATCCATTCCCTGTAGGAATACCATTGAGGTTGAAAAATAAAAAAAAGGGGGGGGGGAGAAAAAAAGAAAAAGCACATGTAATCTGTGTTAAGTCATTACCCACCCAGTGATACAGCCTGTTGAAAGGAATGTGTATTCTTCCTAGCAGATTCCCAAATCAACAAGTCCCCTTTACAGATCATCAAGTGACATCTGAATGCTTCTGAGCAGTAGGGCCACTTAAGTTTCACAGCAACCTCTTCATGTGCTCATTTGGAGGACCGTTAAATGTACAAGGTCCTTTGCATCACATACTCATCACAAGTTCAAAATTCTGGCCACACTGCTTGTCTTGCCAAGACCTTAAAACTGCAGCTGCAAGAAAAACATACCTGTCCCCCAAAAGTTGTTTTTATGCAGTGTCTCGTCTAGGCAAGCGCTTCCAAGAAGCCAGGATTCACTTGAGAATGTGTCTCTCTCTGGCAGGTCTCGACATGACGACTACTGTGTAGGCTGAGGGAGGAACTTTCAAAGCACTGCTTTTCCCACTGACTTAAGTGTGAGAAGTTGCTCCTGCTCTAGGTCTCATGTGCCAGTACTCACCAATTTGTAAAAGGCTTAGTACCTTTTAAAGCTGCTCTCTCCATTTCAAACTTGAACAAAAATTTCATTGAACATTGAAGTTTGGAAATATTTCTTCGACATTTCAGCAAACTCACTGAAACTCAAAGACCCACAGATCACAGTGAACAGTTTGAAACAATGCTGTACCATGGCAATCATGCAAAGCATGGGACAGAAGAAATACCACGGCAGTGAACTGTGAGGGTAACTTCCATTCCCCACCCCGGAGAGAACAGTTTATGGGGCAGAGATGGTATGTTCTGCCCTTTGAAGATTACTGGCACACGTTGAGCTTTTCACTTCTCTAATCGACTGGAAGCAGCCAGCCGATCACTAGTCCTCCATCCCCCTCGAGTCCTCCGATTGTCATGCCTAGGCCTTGCCACAAAGACTGCACCTTTATGCGAAAAAAACTTAGAAAAAATGCAGAGGTTAAAGAAAGCAATAAACTTTCTTTAAAAAACTACAGAGATCTTCTGGAAAACCAAGCCATGAATGCGAGTTTGTACTAACCTAGCCCTCTGGAGGCCACATCTGTAGCAATCAGAATAGGAGCTTTTCCATGTTTGAATTCTACAAAAGAAGATATACATACACATATTATGACCATTAACCTGAGCAGAAATCCCAAGTTAACAACAAAGTTTTTATTTTGTAGTACTTACCATTTAGAACCCAGTCACGTTCCTGTTGACTCTTGTCACCATGGATACCCATGGCAGGCCACCTAAATTAAAAGATTAGGAGACATATTTAGTGACCTGAGATACTCTGGTTTCTCTTAAAAAATCTTTATAAATCATATAAATCTTTCACCTCTTAAAACCTGAGATAAGACTATTAATTTCACCTGGAATGGCTTTACTTACAATATCATATGATCCCCTAAATGAAACTCATATTCACTGCTGCTGATCTAAGTTTCTTTGCCCTTTCCCAAATTCTTTCAATAGAGAAAGCTCACATACCCATCTCTCCTCATTTTTCTGGTTAGCTCATCACATCTTCTTTTTGTTTCAACAAAAACAATAGTTTTATTCTCCTTCTCACTCATGATCTCTTCCATTAGACGAATAAGCCTAGAAATATAAAAATTATGTATTTTAAAAGGAAACCCATAGTTATAGCTACAGTTATAGTCAAACTGACTTTTAAATCTTTCATCCCATTATCAGAAAGTTGCAGGAAACTTTTTCATGGTCCTGAGCATTGAACTCAAGTTTCTGGACTGGAGCTACAGCCTCAACCCACTTTGAGACACAATCTCGCTAAGCTGCCCAGCCTGGGCTGAAACTTGTGACCCCTTTCTGCCTCAGCCTCCCAGAGTGCTAGGACTACAGGCATGTGCCACTTCACCCAGCCCAAACTAATTTTAAATATATCCATTCATGTTATTCCAACCAACTTATAACAAACAGAACCTACGAAACAGTGACTCTTCCACTTGAGTATAAGTAGTAACATTCTTAAAAAGCTGTTAAGACTTGGGCTGGGGATTTAGCTCAGTGGTTTCGCTGCCTGCCTCAGAAGCGAAAGGTCCCAAGTTCCATCCCCAGTAACCCCACCCGCAGAGCTGTAAGACTTATAACTTACTTTTCATCCTTTTCCACGTCATGACATACATCCACAATCTGAAGAATGTTGTGGTTTGCGCTCAGTTCCAGTGCACCAATGTTTATATGAATATAATCTTTCAGGAAATCTTCAGCAAGCTGCCTTACTTCTTTTGGCCAAGTTGCACTCCACATTAAGGTTTGCCTATCAGGCTAAAAGATGGGGAGGAGTTAAACTACCTAGAATAAATTTAAAATGAGTTTGAAAAATGTAAGGGCACTTACTCTTATCTGATCCACAATCTTCCTTATTTGGGGTTCAAAGCCCATATCAAGCATTCTATCTGCTTCATCAAGGACAAGGTAGGTTGTTCTTCTCAGATTGGTTTTTCCACATTCTAAAAAGTCAATCAGTCTCCCAGGTGTTGCAATACAGATTTCCACACCTTCAAATAAATATACGTATGTAACTATAATATCTAGAACTTTTACTGCTATCAGTGACAAACAGAACCTTTTTAATTACATACACACCTCTCTCCAGATCACGTATCTGTGGTCCCTTGGGAGCTCCACCATAGATGCAAGTAGACTTTAAGCGACAAGCTCGACAGTATTCAGCAGCTACTTGCTGCACCTGCTGGGCCAGTTCCCGAGTTGGTGCCAGCACCAAACACTAAAGGAAGGGGAAACAACTTTTAGCACAAACCTAGACACCAGTTTTGCCTCTCTGGTGAATTTGTTTTTGGGGAGCAGGGGCTGCTGCTGTGGATTGAACCCAGGTGGGTTAACTTTAAGTCACTGATTTTTACTGAGAGATCCTTCCCTTGCTTATGCTATACAATATTCAAAGCAGCCCCAGCTATACTGAGTAAGAATAACCTCTATATAAAAGCACCACAAACTATTAAAACTTTTGCTGTGTTCTACAAATCCCTGCAGTATGCTTCTGGTCATAAAACTTGAAAAAATATACTTACAATTGGCCCATCACCTCTCTCTAGGAATGGCTGATGATTGATGTGGACGATGGCAGGCAGCAAATACTATTGGGTAGAGAGAGGGACAAAACAAATCCTTCTAAACATTTTAAAATGTTTATCATTTTAAAATGCTGTTTTTATTCCCGTTCTTACCTTGACATTTATCACCCAGCAACTCAAGAATTAACAATGTGATTTAACTGAAACTTACAGACAATGTCTTCCCAGATCCAGTCTGGGCCACTCCAACCATATCCAATCCACTTAGAGCAACTGGCCATCCCTGAGCTTGAATAGCAGTGGGTTCAGTAAAGTTCTGCCTTGCAATCACATCCATGACATTTGCTGTAAACAGTAATAACACCTTAGTAAGTTTTTAATGCCAAGACAAAAAGAAACAGGAGAGGCCAGAACAGTAAATTAGCACTCACCAGGGAAGTTTGCTTCATAGAAATTCAAAACTGGCTTCGGACAGTTGTGACCTCTCACTGTAATTTCCTTGCTTCTTCTGTATGTCTCCACCTCTTGCTGCAAAACAAGTCACAGTAATTTTTGTGAATGTCATGATAACCTCCTCTACGCAACTTTAAACAGAACTTATTTTTAACTGTATCCATAGATGAAAACCTGTATATCTTAGAAGCCACCTATTCTACAACACTCAATCCCTTTAATAGAAAAACTCATTCATAGCCATTCTTCCAAGTTAGAAAAAGTTAACTACCAAAATAGTCATTTGCAAGATACCTGTCAGGATTCTGATTTACTAAAAGCCATTACTAAATTCTTGCCTGATGAACCCAAAATGAAATTACTCACTGCTGTGCGCCTAGCCAAATCTGGGTGTTCTTGATAAAAGTTCTTCTCGAATTTGGGTAGCTCATCAAGATTCCACTTCTTTTTAACTAGTTTCTCCCCAGGATTTCCAAATTTCTTTCCAGACAGGGGACCTGCTCTACTCCCTCCAAATCGAGGTGCACCAAACCTGAAATTAGACAAGGTTATTCACGTTTTTCAAACATCTACACATAGGTTTGTATACATACACATCTATATCACCTCTTGGCACCAGCTAAAGTAGACTTCTGAAAGTATACAACCTGAGTCCTTAAAGACAGTCATTCTGTCAACTGGCATATATCGTTTCTTACATCTCCAGTATACACTACTGGGGCCAAGCAAAAAGCCTGCGATTTATCATGTTGGAAAACTGGCTGCCCCAAAGCCCCAAGTTCAGATTACAATAGACAACAGCTTGCAGATACTACCTAGTCTTTCCCATGAGCTGAGGAATTAAGTAGCTAGGAGAACAAGAAGGGAGGAGCTTAACAGCGGTGTTATTTTTACGACTGTTTTCAAGCAAAAAGAACTAATGTAATGGATAACGGGACGACACAGGCAGTGAGGGCATCAGAAGCAGGAGGGCATTAACCAGCGCGCTCACGAAGGCGAATCGGGTTGGGGGAACCGCGTGTTAGCGCTCTCGATCAAGGTAAGAGAAATTATATAACGTTAGGAAAAAGAGAAGGAGGAGCCGGCGACTACCGGGGGAGGAGTCCCGGCCCGGGCGGAGTCGGCCGGGCGGCGTTCCCGCTGGGGCGGCGCTTCCCCCTTTGTCTTGCATTTCTCTCTGCGCCACATTTTCTCGACGCTGCCATTTTGAGCTCCTCCGCCGGGCGGGGTAACAAAGGCGCCGCCGCCATGTCCGAGGCCGGCATTTTGTAGCCGCGGCTCAGCCACACGGCCGATTCCGCCGGCGCCGGCCACCCTGCGACCCCCCCGATGGCCTCGAAGGTGGCTCCCCCACAGCTTCCGTACAATTCCCGGTGTCCCCAAAACACCTCCCGCAAAATTACACCCAACGACGGCTCCTCCGTCTGCCTCACAGCGTCGCGCTGCCCGCCCCTCGCAAGACACTCCTCCGGTTACCTCAACAATTGCCAAGCGGCCGAGGCCTAGATGGCACCTGCACGCCCACCCCCACACAAAAAGCGAGAATGAGGTAATAACACGTCCTTCCTAGCGGCTTTTATCTATCAAAATGGCGCAAAACCTTCGACTAGTCCCAAGAAAAGGCAAAAAAGACCGACTTCCCACCGCGACGCCCTCACCCGTCCTCCCATCCCCCACTGGCCAGGCCTGACAGGTCAGTTCCCACTCACCCTCGATCCCGGCCGCGGTCCCGGTCGCTCGAGTAACTCGACATGGCGTCAATGGTTGCGGTTGGCAGGGAACGAAGTGAAGAGAACTGGGTGCGACGAGTCGCTGGAAGTGGCCTCGGCGACGGCGAAGCCTTGTGGGGGCGGCAGCAGCGGAGGGACTGCGATGACGGAGCCGAAACTGCCCGACCAGAGACCGATAGAAATGAATGAGGTGCCGGCTCTGTGCCGGCAGCCGGTTTTATAGCCTGGACCGCCTCCTCCGCCGCTAAGAATGCTGGGAGCCGCTCTACGACCTAATCACCCCGCCCCCAGCGCAGAGGCCGCAACGCCCGCCGGCGTTCCGGAATCCGCCATCTTCTCGCCCCTCCCCCCCCCCCCGGCGGCCTTTCCCTCAGACGCCCGTACCCCTATCGCTTCACGGCTGGGATCATCTACCACTGGGATGCCTCATTCTACTCTCTTAGTTTCACCTTTTTCTAGTCTTCCCACACCTCAAGTAAGCCACCTCGCCCATTTCCAGGCCCAGTCAGGCAATTAAATAGCCAGTAAATGCACTCTCCCCACCTTGGAGATGTTTACGTCTACAGAGCCTCCACGCCCATAACCAAATAAGACGAGAAGGCGGGGCCTGGCATTGTCACATGACTGTCCCCACCGGGGGAGAGGACCGCACTATTTCCTCATTTGGCGTCGGCGGAGGAATACATAACGACTTACTTCACCGGAAGTGGCTGTTCTAATGCCCCGGGGAGACCATCAGGGCTATGGGGTTACCTGGACTGCCCAACGCGTCGACCCGAGAAACCTCTAACTAGATCTTGCCCTGGAGGAATGGTGTCTGGAGCCCGCAAACTGCCACCTAGGCGCGTGCTGCGAAAGGAAGTGCTTCTCTGATGACCAATCAGCGGCGAGAAGCCGCTTTAATGTCCTCCCTTTTACTCCTTCCCTTACTGGTTTGTATTCTTTCTCGCCTGCGCAGAGTTTGCGCGGTACGGGCCTTTCGGGACACCGTAGCTCGCACGCCCGCTGCAGAGTCCGACGGCAGCTTCCATCCGCGTCATGGCCGGCTCGGAGACTGGTGAGTCTCGGCTCGGAATCCTGGTGGTGTGGACTGCAACATTCCAGCCTTCCGAAGGACTCGGGCCCACGTTATTTGGGTCTGGGCTGCTGCCGAGACTCATGACTGTCAGACACGCTGTCGCAGTCGCAATCGCAATCGAAGGTTCTGTGGATAGAATCTCAGCCTCACTGCCTTTTCTCATTGAGGCCGTGGAATAGCGACTGGGGCTGTGAGGGGCCCTATGGCTAGGCTGGAGGATACCCGCACCCTGACTGCTGAAGAGTAGTCAGAAACCCCGGACCTGGGTTTCTCTGGGATGTTTAGCCACCATCAGTGTGCTCTCTGCTCTTTGTGGGCACTGAGGCTGAACCTGCATTTGTATTGATATTTTGAGACATTGCTTTTAAGATAATGTTGATGCCCCTGTCAAAGTAGAATAGTGGTACTTTTTTGTCTTCTTTGCCCACTGGCTTTAACACCGCTTTCTTTTTTTTTTGGTACTGGGGATTGAACTCGGGACCTTGGGCTTGCGTAGGCGGCGGTTAACACTGCTTTTGAAAAGCAAATTGACTTGGTTGTCTAGGACGCTTTCATCCGTTTTTCCGGAACAGCCTAGGAAACAGTTATCTTGGCTGGGTCACCTGTGAGCATTGGGCTTGAGGCGAAGGGATGATATGCATACAAGAAACACTCATTTGTTTGCAGAACGTGTCCATAACATACTGGAGATCCTGGAGTAGTTTCCCTTTTATCGCTAGTCATTTCATGAAATAAATGTTGCAAACTTTCTAACTTATCTTTAGTCAAGAAACTAGTAACCTTGGTAATTCTAGCACTGTATGGGAAGGACAGGATATGGTGCATTACACAGGGAATTTCAGCAGTGTTGGTAATGTGCTAGTTCTGAGCTTAGGGTTTTTATAATTTTTTTCTTATTTCATATACATCAAATATAATTTTAAAAACAGATGCATTAGTACTAGTGTTATCATTCTAGATCTTAATCACCTGTTTGGTTGCTAGAGATCCTGACTTGCACAAAATAATGGGATGAAAACATGACTATTGGGAATTGGAAGCCACCTCTGTTAGTTTCTAATAACCTAAGATTATTTACAAACTGTCTAGTTCATGATATATTCCTGTTTACTTTCAAATACGTTTTAAATAAAAATATTTAAGGCGTATAAAATTACTGGTAAATAAGGTTTTAGGTTGTAATAGTAAAATTGAGTTTACATTATAGTTTTAAGTATTATTATTATTATTATTATTTTTTTTTTTGGTACCAGAGATCGAACTTGGGTCCTTGTGCTTGTGCAGCAGGCGGTGAAACCACTGAGCTAAATCACCCAGCCCTACATTATAGTTTTGATTACTTTGAAATTATAGCACTTTGAAAATCATCTTAAGAAATTAAATCTTCTAAAAGTTTCGTCTAGGAGAGTCTTTGAAATTCTGTAACAAACAAATTCCTTATCTTGTATCAAGTTGTCTATTTTTGTAGGAGGTTGTTGGTTTTTAAAATATGTGCATGACTTTTTCCAGTGCTACTGAAGACTGATTCTTTTTCCCCAACAGAGTGGGTAACCATTGCCAATAACCTTCTTTTTAAATGTCACATACACCTGAGGATACATGAACTTGAAGACTGTGATGCTAATGTTTTTATTGCTCTTTATCAGTCCATTTTGGGAGAAAAGGTACCAGGTAAGGGTACTGAAAAGTGGAAGTAATTGTCCATATCCTAAGCCAGTTAGGTCGTTTGGTATTTATAAAATTTAGTTTTCCCTATCTGCGTATTATTTCTGTCCAAATATGGCATTCATTACCTTATGAATATCTTATGGGACCCACACATAATACTAATCTTGAGCAAATCAGTTTAATCATTTAATTTAATCATGCCCAGTGTCTGGTGAAAGTTACAGCATTCCTATAAATATATCTTTAAAGGTTCTACAATTGAGTGGAACTTGGAATGTGTTGAGTCCTATTAGTATTACAGATAAGAATTGATGTTTGTACTCTGTAAACCTAATTATTATTATTATTTTTTGGTACTGGAGATCATACTTGGGTCCTGTGCTTCCAAGGCCAGCAGCAAAACCACTGAGCTAAATCCCCGGCCCAGTAAACCTAATTGTTCAGAAAACAGTTAATAAATTTGTCTTACCTTTTTCAGGGGGGATGAGATGGATGTCTCACTATGTATTCTAGGCTGGTCTTGAACTCATTACGTAGCCCATAATGAGTTGGAACTGGAAGTTGAAACAATCTTCCTGCCTCAGCCTCCAAGTATTGGGATAACAGGTGTGCAGCACCACCCCAGGGTATTATCATCTTGTAAATTTGTGATTTGCATAATTCTTTCAAAGGTATATCATTATTTTGCTGTGTGCTTGGTTAAGTATCTCAGCATTCTTATCCATAGATTCTTTACTGCTTCCATTTTTTTATATAGTTTATAACCATTAAATACTATAATATAGGGTCTGTATACTCTCGCCATTATTAGCATGAATTAGTTCCCTCAGCAGTTCCTGGAATAAAGAATGGTCTCTAGCTGGTGTCTTTGATCTAATCTTAACTCAAGGGTTCATCTTACTCAGTACCAAATTTGACTTGGTATTAAAATATTTTAAGGGGTTTTTTTTTGGTACCAGGGAGAAAATATTTTTAAATATTTTCACATTCTGGTCTGTACTGACTTTGAAAACCTTTAATACCAATTATTCCTAATAGATTTTTTTTTTTTGGGTACTGGAGCTCGAACTCGGGTCCTTGCGCTTGCCTAATAGATTTTTGTAGCTGGATGTATAAGAACCTTTCTTGTATTGGGCCTGATGGAGGCTGATTGTGAGTTTGAGACCAACCTTGTTCTGCATATTAAGTTCCAGGCTGGCTTGAGCTACATAATGAGACCCTGTCTTTAAGAAAACAAAACAGAAACCTCCTTGAACACCTGCATTTTACAGTTTTTTTCTCTCACGGAAAGCAGCCCACAGTTATGGATTAAAGTCTCAGTTCATGTCTTACTTTCCTTCTTAGACTATTAGCATCTATTTTGGACCTCTCCACCTTCCTTTACAGGGTACTTATGTACAGCATGTTCAAATTGTAGGTGTAATAGTTTAATGAATACTCAGTATTAAAAAGTAAGTTCAATCAAATATTCAACCACTGAAGATTCTACTATTTAGAATTCAGGCTTTAACTTTATCTGTACTATCACCTATTCTCTTTGTGCAGAGCTTGTTTTGTAGTTGAGTTTACTCAAAGCCTGGTCAGAGAAATGGATGAAAACTAATGTGACTTTTCTCCCAAGACCTCATAGCTGTTTCCAAGAGTCAAGAAGATGATGCCCACAATGTACAAGCAGTGATTGATTCATTGGCCTTGGATTACCTGCAGGTCAGCTTGTCTCACATAACAGGTTAGTATATGCATAACCATTAGATAATTATGCACTTTAGTAAAGTGTATTGTCAAATAGAACCTTGGACAATGTTTAATTAACCAAATGAGTGAAGTTATGGGATAGGCAAACTAAGACTGAGCCAGGACAGTCAACCACAGTTTGAGAACCCTATGTGAGAGCTTTACCAGGAGAGTCAGATTTAACTTGTGATGGATCTGGGTCTGAAGTAAATTTAAGTGATTTTTTTTTTTTTTTGGTACCGGGGATCAAACTTGTGTCCTTGCATTTGCATAGCAGGCGGTGAAACCACTGAGCTAAATCCCCGGCCCTTAAGTGATATTTTTGTTGTTTTATTATTTTATGTTTTGTTTTGTTTTTCAGACGGGATCTCACTATGTAGTTCAGGCTGTCCTTAAACTCACTGTGTAGCCCAGGCTGGCCTTGAACTCAAAGCAGTCCTCCTCCCTCAGCCTCCTGAGTGCTGGGATTACAGCCATGCACCACTATGCCCAGCCTGTTTTGTTATTTTAACGCATGCCAATTGTGCATTTTAATGTAGCTAAAAATTAGAAATACTTAAATGTTCTTTAATAGGGACTGGTTAGATAAATTAAGATAGCTCCAAACAGTGAACTACTCTCAGCTATAAAAGGTTCCAATATATAGTAAGAGAAAAACGTATGTAGTCTAAAACTTTCAATATAAGCTGTTTTTGAAACTTTTCCACAGTAAGATGAAGTATACTGTGCTGTATTTCAAAGCCAGTATTTTTATAAATATTTTATATTTGGAGACAGGGATAAGTATTATTCTGGTAAATTACTTCAAGTTAATGAAAAAAGGCTCTACTGTTCATTTTTTTGACAGCAGTTAAAGGAGAAAAATGTTAATTAGGATAGACTATTTGCAGCTCTTAATTTGGTATTGACAAGAACACATTTTTGCAAGAATTCTCTTGTCATATTTTAGTTCATTTCTAATTGAGTGGGAAATCAGTTTAGAAATAATTTATTTTGAGGAAAAGTCCTAGAATTTCCCTGTATTTTATTTGTTTTTGCAATTTGGAATTGCTTAATCACTTGAATAGGGCAGTTTCTGGTATTTGTTCCAAACATATTGCAGCAAAGTTTGTAAGCATACATATCTGCCCCTGACAAATCACACTATTGAATGAAAAATCACAAAATTGCTTACCTCCTCCAATAGACTGCAAAGCAGCTTTTCACTTGTTATGTTTGCGTTTAAAGCAGTTTCTCCTATACCATGAAGCATTGCATTCTGGCTGGTAGTCTTAGTTGCTGGGGTTTGCAGTGTATGTTCCCTATCCTGGAGACCCAAAGGTACTGAGTTTGCCCTTGGGGTATTAATTTAAGAAGCCAGAAAAACACGGGCCTTGAAAACGAGATTTCTGTTTCATTATTTTAGGCAGGAAAAAAAACTTGTCAAACTGCCTCTTTTTACTTGTAGTAATGTAAAACATCAAATTTCTGGTTTAGGGGTTTTTTTGTATCATGGCTAGATACTCTGAGATATCAGATTCCTACCCTGCTTCTTCCACACTGCTTTGGACTTATAAGAATGCTAAGCATAAAAAAAAAAAAAGAATGCTAAGCATGATATCCCAAAGGATAACCAACACGTTCCATCTATAGCTGATGTTGATTGAAGTCCATTTTAAATGACAAACAGGTTTCCGTGTATTTGCCAGCCCATTTCTATTTCATTTCAACACATTATGGGCTTGGTACTGGGATAGGGACTATTTGAAAGATTAATCTTTCAAATCTGTTCTTAAAAAGAAAAAAAAAGATTATCTTCTTATTGTTGCTTTTTTTTTTTTTTAATTTTATTTTTATTTTTTTGGTACCAGGGATTGAACTGGGGACCTTGCACTTGCGAGGCAGGCAGCAGAACCACTGAGCTAAATCCCTGGCCCTTTAGTTATTTATTTTTGAGTCAGGGTCTTGGTATGTAGTTCAGGCAGGCCTTGAACTCACTAGGTAGACCAGGCTGCCCTTGAACTTGGGGTGATCCTCCTGCCTCAGCCTCCTGAGTGCTGGGCTTACAGGTGTGTGTGCCATCACGCCTGGATTTAAAAGTTAACTTCTGAGGGCCAGGGATTTAGCTCAGTGGTTTCTCTGCCTGCTGCGCAAGCACAAGGACCCAAGCTTGATCCCCTGTACCAAAAAAAAAAGTTCTGATTACTAAGTGGAAGTATTAGGGAAGTATTAGAAGATGAGGCTGGAGAGTTTGAGGATAAAAAGGAGAGAGAATAAAAAGGGTTTTATATGCAGAGATTTTAGAAAAGAAGCCATTGACGAGATTTTTGTTTTGTTTTTTGCAGTGTTGGGAATCAAATCCCCCAGATGAAATTTTAATCAGAAAAATAGTTTTGATTCACACAGAGTGAATAGAAGTTAACAAATATTGGGAAAAGAACCAAGAATTACTGATAAAAGTATCCCAACAAATTTTTTTGTTTTGTTTCATAATTACAGTATCTTGCTACTACCTTTTAAACAAACCATTGTAGAAGTAGAATCTGACAATCTGAAAGTGTTCTCTTCTGTGTTTGTTGAGACAGGGTCTCACTATGCAGTTCAGCCTGGTCTTCAATTCACTATGTAGTCTAGGCTGGCCTTGAACTCACAGTGACCCTTACTGCCTCAGCCTCTCGAATGCTGGGATGTGCCACCTGCCTGGCTGTCTTCTGCCATTTTCTTTTCACCAATCCAACAAAGCTCTGCTTTACTACTTTATATTTTGGTATGACTCTTACTAGAGGATGTTTGCTTAAGTCTAGTTATTTTCCTTCTTTTTTTTTTTGTACCGGGGATCGAACTCGGGTCTTTGTGCTTGTGAAACAGGTGGTAGAACCACTGAGCTAAATCCTCGGCCCTATTTTCCTTCTTAAAACATGAAATATGCTTGTGATTCAATATCGTATCAAAGCTACTCTTGTTATTTTTCAGATATAATTAAGCAACAAAATATTTATATTATTTGTCTTTACCTTACAATCCCTGCATTTTTGAAAATGTTACATCCATTTCAAGATTATGAGGCTTTCAGGTTGTGTATAAGTTAAGTTTTTTAACAGCTCTGTATTCTCTATTCAGGAGAAAATATAGTGAAAGGAGATAAAGAATCTATCAAGAATCTCCTAGAAATATTTGATGGGTTGCTGGAGTATCTTACAGAACACATCAGTGAAGCATCTTATGAGAAAAGTAAGTAAGAATAGAGGGGCTGGGTCCAGGGATGTAGCTTAGTGGCACTGCGCCTGCCTTTCAAATGCAAGGTCCTGAGTTTGATTCCCCGGTACCGGGGAGAAAAAAAAAAAAAAAAAGAATGGAGGGGCTGGGGTGTACCTCAGTGGTAGAGTACATGTTTAGCTTGCTCAAATCTCTGGGCTGCATCTCCAGCACCACAAAAAAATTGGAAAAAGAAAAGGAAATATGTTTTGATCTACATTTTATAGTATAATATGTCCCTCCCTTTTGCCTGTTTTTCTTGGGAAGCAGAATCACTGATACAATACATCTGATAAATGTAATTACAAATTTCCAGTTGTTTCTGTTTCCAATGGTTGGAAACTCTATCCTAAACAGGTCCTTTTGTTAATTTGGATTTTGCTTGTAAGTTATTTTAAAACTAATTGGTAGTAGAAACCTACATTTCTGCCTGAATTGTTTATTGTCCAATTGCATGAAATTTCTTATTCCAAGATTAATGTTAGAACTACCATTTTATATTATAAACGTGGGTAATATTGAGGCATCCATAGGAAGAACATCTTTGCTTCAGCTCAATCTAGTATTTTGTGGTAGCTTGAATATTTTTTACTTTACTCTGAGTAACCCAGTTCCTCAAAATGTAACAGTTAATACTGAGAAATATTTCTTAAGATCACTATTGCCTTATTTTTACCCAAAATGGGTATGGTTAAACTAAATCAGCAGTGCCTAAGAGCTAATTTTCAACTTTGATACATAAATCCTATATCTAGGAATTTATTATCCCAAGAAAATATTGCAAAAGGGTCAGGCATGGTGGCTCATGCTTATAATCCCAGCACTCAGGAGGCTGAGGCAGGAGGATTGCCACAAGTTCGAGGCCAGCCTAGATTACATAGGGAGTTCAAGACCTCCCTGAACTCAGTGAAACCCTGTCTCAAAAAAAAGGAAATATTGCCCAAAAAAGATATTTAAAATATTTGTTGCATTATTTATCCTTGCTCAAAAAGAACCTGTCTGTATCTTTTTTTTTTTTTGGTACCAGGGATCGAACTCAGGTCCTTGCACTTGCGCAGTAGCAGCGAAACCACTGAGCTAAATCCCTGGCCCAAAAAGAACCTGTATCTTACCAGATTAAATAATGTTTGTCATGGGTTGAATAATACATAACCTGTTCTTATATTGCAAAATTATCTCCAGAAAAGTTTTCAGCAATAATAAACATAAATTTTTTGCTTGTTTGTTTTTTGAGACAGGGTCTCACTTTGTAGCTCAGGCTGCCCTTGAACTCCAGGCAATCTTCCTGCCTTGGCCTCCTGAGTGCTGGGATTACAGGCCTGCGCTACCATGCCTGGCATAAAATAAACTGTAATACAAGTTACAACAGAAATTTGGGGAAGGCTCAGCCTTCCTACCTTTCCCATTGGTGATAGTGAGACTCATGCTGTAATTATAATATTTGAAATTAATCTTAGTCTTTAGTTAGGGCTCCTGAAGTCATGGCCCTAGTGAATTCTGCCACTGGTAAAAGTGTGTGTTCCGGGGCCAGGGATTTAGCTCAGTGTCAGCAGTGCCTGCCTCACAAATACAAGGTCCAGAGTTTTTTTTAAAAAGTGTGTGTTCCTAAGTATGGAGTTGGACGAAAAGTTGATGGTCTTAGGAAAACTTCATCTAAGCCTAGATGTGGTCTGACTCAGCCTCCTAAGGCATGATTGTCCTGGAGCTTGAAGTTAGATGATGCTGTCATGTTTTTCCTGCCATCTTAGTGAATCAAACACCTAGTTTAAAAAAATAAAACATTGTTATGTACAACTGTAGACTCTGATTTGAAAGCAGCATATTTCTTTTTTAATAACTCATTATAGGTGATCATTTGGTTCTAATTTCATTATCATGAGAGCCCAGTTGAGCACGATGAGTTGGGGGTGCTTCACTGCCCTTACCTCTTCACCCCACTCGTGTACAAAAAAAGTGTTACTGTCTTAACTGAGGTTCTTTTGGTATTGTTGTTTTTAATCTGTTCTAAACAGGTGAAACTGAACAGTATTTTAAAGAATTCCATGGAGGAGAACCTTTGGAAGAGGTAGAAAGTACTAAGGAGTCCAAATCATCATGGAAAAGAGTTTCTTTTGAGAGGTAGTTGGCAATGTCTCTGAATTTCATCAAAGCAAGTTGTGCTTTTCCATCGGCTAAGAATCAAAATTGTACACAAAATACCAGAATGCTATTCCCAAAAAAGCTAATGTGAACATTTTACTAACTTGTATTTTATATTTTCCTGAGAGGGTTCTATGAGCCTTGATTATATATAATATTAATTCTGTCTTAACTACCTATTTATCTTTTTCTTGATCAACAAAATTCATCTTTCTTGCAAAAAACTTGCAAAGTACAGAGAAAGGGTTTTCTTTTTGGTACCAGGAATCAAAATCAGTACCTTCACTTGCCAGGCAGGTGCTGTGCCGCTGAGCTACATCCCTGGCCCTGTTTTAGTTTTTTGAGTCAGGGTCTTGCTTTGTAGTTAAGGCTGGCCTCAAACTCGGAGCAGTCTTCCCTTAGCCTCCCAAGGAAATCTACCATTTAAAACGAAATACCATTGTTAACATTTGGTTATCTTTTAGTTTTTACTTTTCTTTTTTTGGATTAAATCATATTACTTACACAGTTTTTTTCCCCAGTACTGGAAATTGAATTCAGAGCTCACACTGAGCTACATCTCCAGTCCTTTTTTAAATTTTGCAGTGGGTCTTGCAAAGTTGCTAAGCAGCCCAGGCTGGACCCAAAACTTGATCCTCCTACCTCAGCCTCCCAAGAATTAGGACTACAGGCATGAACCATCATGCTCAGCTGTTGTCTATAATTTTACTTCTTCCATTTTTAAATTAGCATCAGTCTTTTCCAAAGTTGTTACTCGTGTGTGTGTGCGTGTGTGTGTGTGTGTGTATGTGTGTGTATAATGTCATATTATATTATATATTGGTTTTTTTCCTCTGGTGGTGCTAGAGATCAAACACCAGGGCTTTCCACATGCTAGGCAAGTGCTTTACCACTGGCTACACCCCCCAACCTCCCCTATAATAATTTTTTTTTTTGGTACCAGGGATCGAACTCAGGACCTTGTGCTTGCGAGGCAGGCACAGGTGCCACTAAGCCAAATCCTTGGCCCCCCTGTAATAATTTTTAATCACTAGGTAACATACTATTTATATTGGTGCATCATGATTTACCAAACTATTCTTCTACAGTAGAGGTTTGTTTCTCTAGGATATGTGGCTTGCTTTCTTCTTCTCCCCCCTTTTGTATCTCTAGGCTAGATTTAAAGAAAATGAATGTTCTAAGACTGTTAAGAAAATATCCCAAGCTATTTTCCAAAAAGGCCATGACTAATATATTCACTAGCAACATAAAAATGCTGGGTTAGCCCACCCTTATGAACCAATATCACTGACCACTAGTGGAGTTTTAAAATTCGTGCTACTTTCATAGATGAAATATGTTATTGTTACAGGTTTGATTGCATTTCTTGCTAACTGAAAATTGAATGTGATGCTATGATTATCTGTTAAATAATTCTTAATTTTTAATGGAATTTGCCATAGTTTGAAAAGCATAAGCAATGCCTTTTTTAACTGTAGTGCACTGTGAAGGATGTCTCAAAGAAAACCATCATAAATTCTTGACTTTATTATTCATTATTAGTTTTTTATTATTGTTAGATTTTTAAAAATGTAACAAAGTACAAAAGTGAACAAGGATATTTAATGCAGAATTAACGACTGCAGTGTACTCCCACACCCTTACTGTCAATGTTTGCTCTTCTATGTATTCTACCCATTTGATCCTTGACACTTTGTACACATAGTTGTTTCTGCCATTCCAGTACCAGTCAGAATGAATCAGACAAGCAGCAAAAGGGAGACTTTTTTTTTTTCCTTTTTTCTTTTTTGTGGTGCAGGGGATTGAACCTAGGGTCTTGAGCACACTACGCAAGCTCTCCATCATTGAGCTACATCCCCAGACCCAGTCATTCAGATTCTCTGCACCTAGCAATGAGCAGTCTGAAGATTTCCAGGTCAGCTGTTTGGAGCAGCTTGCTAGGCCCTCGATGGAAAGGCCCTCTGTGGTCAGGCTGGTCCCTAAGTAAGTAAGAGACCTCTTTCAGGTGCTCTTTTTTTTTTCCAGGTGCTCTTTCTCATCTGAGGCTTTGGGCCCCTCTTGGGATGAAGATGAGGCAGAATCCACTGGTGAAATAATTCAACTTGGAGACACAGCACACACCTTTTCTCTAAGAAGTAACAGTAAGTACTTAAACTTTAAATAGCAGTTATCAAAAAAAGTTATAATTCAAGGTACAACTTAGTAGGATATAGTACTACTCAAATCCAGAATACCAAGCATTACCTACTAAATATGAATAGTTCACAGGCAAATGGGATTCACAGGCACGTGAATCTTATATTTAGATTGAGATATCAGATAACTCATACACATTGACAGGCATCTAGTTTAGGCTTACATGGCAGTAAGTCCAAGGCAAATAAGTAGGTGCAAGGTAGTCATGTAATTTGTGGGACCTGTTATCATGGAAGACCATTGTATATACACCTTTATTCTTTTTTTTTTTTAAGTGCTAGGGATTGAACCCAGGGCCTTCACACTGAGCTACGTCCCCAGCCCTGTTTTTAAATTTGAGACAGGGTCTTGCCAAGTTCACCAGGCTTGGCTTAAGCTTGTGATCTTCCTACCTCAGCCTCCCAGAATGCTAGGATTACAGACATGTGCTTCCATGCTTGGCTAGAGTACTCCTTAATGATATTATCCTAAAGAAGTTGGCTTACTTTTTTCATCATTTCAACAAGTTCGTACTCCCAGTGCCAGTTTTTCTCTCAAGCTGCAGGCCACATTTCCAACAGTCTGCTCCTTCCACATGGTAGATATGAATGTTGCTCTCAGTTCCCCTGTCCTGCCCACCTGGGTGCCATGCTCTTCTCGAGTATCACACACTGGGTGCTTTTCCTTTCTGTTCTAGCAAACCCACCCTTCAGTTTTCAGCTTCCCCCATCTGCCTCAGGCTCTGATGCTATGTTTATATTATGTGACCTTTTCTATTTCTGTAACACCATTCACACATTATAAGGTACCTTGCAATTTGTTATGGGAACTAGTTTCTGGCAAACCAGTTTCTTGTACTTAGTATTTATTCAGGGCCTTCTCTCTGCTGTCCAGTGGTGATAGAGTGAGAAACAAAACAGACAGAAATCCCTGCCTTCATGGAGCTTATACTCTACTTGTGAAGGCTGCTGATAAAAATAACTAAAATATATAGTAAAATTATCTTTCGAGACAGCGAAAAAAAAAGCCAAAATAATTATTTTTTAATAGAAGGACAAGAACGTTAGTGTGGCATTAGGAACCTTAAATTGGGAATGAAGTGGCCTTTGTCTTTATTCAGACTCTGCTACTAGATATGTGACTTGAGATAGGCTCTTACCTTTTCAGAGCCCCAGTATGAGAATTAGACTAAGCCATGTGTGAAGTTCCTGTCAGCCATTCCAAGGAATTATGTTCAAAAAACCTAAGTCTTAAGGTCAGACAATAGGCCAAAGTATGTGCTTGTCACTGGAATGTGCAATGTGATAGAATGATCAGTCAAGTGTAGTTAATATAAGAATACTTGCTGGCCAGAGGTGGTGGCATACACATTTAATCACAGCTACTTAGGAAGCTGAGGCATAAAGATCGAAGTTTTGAGGACAATCTGACCAGTTTAGTGAGACCATGTCTCAGAAGGCTAAACATGGACCTCGTGGGTAGAGTGCCTGCCTAGCAGGCTCATGGCCCTAGGCTCGATACCTGGTACTGCAAAAAAAAAAAGTTTTGAAGGTAGTTGAATGTTTGATAGGATTGGAGGGACAGTGATTCCAGAAATGATGATGTCAAGTGCCATGAAAAACTATAAAAAAAGAAGTGAAAAAAATAAACTAGGTTGAGCATCTCTAATCCAAAAACCTGAAATACTCCAGCATCCAAAACTTTTGACATCACAAAGGGAAAATCACACACTGACCCAATATGACAGGTCACAGTTAAAATGCAGGCACTGAAAATATTGTAAAAAATTACTTTCAGGCTGTGTGTGTTAAGTATATATGAAATATAAATGAGTTGGGTTCCATTCCTCTGATATCTCATTATGTATATGCAAGTATCCAAAAACACTTCTGGTCAAGCATTTTGAATAAGAGGTACTCAACCTGTAGTTATTTTCAGATTACAAAGAGAGGAATTGTCTTTGCTGCAATGAGGGCAAAGGAGAAAAGGTTGTGAGAGAGATACCTGGTGTTGGTGTTTGAGTTTGATGTGATAAAAGGGCTTCTGGAAGTTTTCTTTTATATTTAGATTGAGATATCAGATAATTGTCATACACACTGACAGGTGTTTAGTTTAGGCTTCAATTTCTAGACTGTAACTCTTTGATTATGGTACTGTCCATAGCCCCTAACTCAAGTATCTCTTCACACCCAAAGGTGGCCACATAATAAGCATTTCTAGAACTCTGGCACCTATTTTTTAAAGCAGAGTAATGAAAGTTTTAATACAACTTTGTTTTCAGGTTGTATAAAGGATTCTGGGCTATAGAATTGTATCTTACTCTGTGATAGTTATTAAAAATAATTGGTGTTAGGGTCGGGGATTTAGCTCAGTGGTTCCGCTGCCTGCCTTGCAAGTGCAAGGTCCTGAGTTCGATCCCTGGTACCAAAAAAAAAGAGCCAAAAGTAGGAGATGAAAAAAGAATTAAGATGTGTCATCACTGCCTGCTGTGCAAGCAGAAGGACCCAAGTTCAATCCCCAGTATCAAAAAAATAATAATAATAATTGGTGTTCACAGTGCCTACCTGGCAAGCGAAAGGTCCTAAGTTCGATCCCCAGTACAAAAAAAAAAAAACACCAAAAATAATTGGTATTAAAGCGGTTGGACTAACATTGTTCTTTCAACACTGGCTTTTAGTATAATACTTAGTAAACTATTTTGATAGTTTATGAATTTATCTTTAACTTCTTTCCTAGGTGCCCAAAGTCCTGTTGATACACAGTGTAAAAAAACATTAGCCTCACCAGGCTCAAAACCATGTGAGGACACATTGAACCCCCCTTCATCTCTTTTTCTGTCCAAGAATGCAGCATCCTTTGTTGAAGACGGTGAGTTGTAATGGGTCGTTGGTTCTTTTTTTTTTTGGTACCGAGAATGGAACTCAGGTCCTTGTGCTTGCACAGCAGGCGGTGAAACCAGTGAGCTAAAAGGGTTGTTGATTCTTTAGATTACTGCTGGGTTGAGGATAGTAGTTAATGCTTGGGACATTTGGTATTGCCACTAGCTTTTTTACTTTTGTTGTGCTGTACTTTGTCATTCATTTTAGTTTTATATGAACGTATTTGTAAAGGTCTGCCCTTAATTATGAGCTCTGATTTCTGATTTAGATGGTTTTTGGTCACATGTTTTTGTGTCCACTATTTTATTGTTTTTTCTTTTAAAGACAATGAGTCTTTACATCAGTTGCTGGCCTTGATATTAAGTGACAAAGTATTTTTTATTTTATTTTTTGGTCCCGGGGATCAAACTCAGGACCTTGCGCTTACAAGGCAGGTGGTGGAACCACTGAGCTAAATCCCCAGCCCTGTGACAAAGTATTTTTATTCCTTTTTTTAAAGTTTTTTGTTTTGTTTTGTCTTTTTTTTTTTTTTTTGGTACCGGGGATCGAACTCAGTTGTTTTGTCTTTTTGATGATGTGAGGATTGAGCCCAAGGCCTGTGCATGCTTCGCAAGCACTCTATTACTAAGCTACATGCCCAGCCCCTTCTATTTATTTATGCAGTACCTGGGCTTGAACCCAGCACCCTCATACTGAGCTATATTTTTATTTTATTTTACTTTTTGAGACAGGGTCTTGCTAAATTTTAGGCTGGACTCAAACTTGTAATTCTTTTGCTTTAGCCTCCCAGAGTGCTGGGATTATAGGCATACAACACTATGCCAGGCTCATCCCCAACTGTTTGAAGCTTTGAGGATAAGGCAAGGTCTTGTTAAACTCAGGCTGGCCTTGAACTTGTGATCCTCTTGCCTCAGTCTCTCGAGTAGCTGGGATTACTGTTGTATGCCACTGTGCCCAGCTCACATTCCTTGTTGTTCTCTATGATTTACATATGGGATTATCATTGTTAATGGCTAACTACTTCTCTAACACATGAATGAACTATAATTTACATAGACATTCTTTAAGCCATTAAGTTGCTTCTAAGTTTTCATTATTTTTAAACTTTCAAGGAACAATTTGATAACAACATGAAGATTACATCCATCCTGCCAGGCATTGTAGTACACACCTATAATCCCAGCACTTGGGAAGCTGAGGCAGGAGGGTCACTGCACTGTGAGTTTGAGGCCAGCCTGAGCTCTGTAGTGAGAGCCTGTCTCAAAAAAAAAAAAAAAAATTACATCCTTCCTAATTTAATTAGATCCCTACTTTTTTAGCTAAGACTACATCTCTGGTTTAAGTATTTTTTTGTGTGCTCTAATTAGTGTGTGAATAGTAATTGTCTAGGTATATTATATGCAAAATCATTTATTAGAATTTCATAAGATTTACTGTAATTTGTCTTACCAACAGAAATCCCTTCTGTGAGTGTGGTTCCAAGTGCTAGAAGGCTAGGGGAGCCTATCCGAGCTGCTATTCCTTTACATCCACCCTACCACCCTTCAGAGCCTCGAGCACCCTGCCCTATAGGAAGAGAATACCTACAATCAAGTCACTTCTTCCCTGTCATGAATTCAGCTGGAGAGCAGACGGCATTTTCTGTGGTAAGTGCAAACACTTGCTTGCAATTGGGTAGAAGCGCATATACTTAGTATTTGTTTTTGGTGCTGGAGATTGAACCCAAGGCTTTGTGTATTCTAAGCCTGTGCTCTGCCACTGAGTTACACCCTCAACCCTAGAAGCCCATATATTTAAAGAGATCTCTGCTAGGATAATAGTCAAGCATACTTCACTGTTATGAAATGAAATAGCATTGTACTTAAAATTTACCACTGCATGTTTACACTTGCATATTCTTATTCTGTATTCTAGGAAGATAGGGACAAGATGAATGTCAAGGGAAGGGAGGGACCAAGATATGGAGGGAGCAGGAAGGAAGGGAAGGGGATGAGAAAGAATTGAGATGTGTTATGTACATGTACCAACTAGCTCCCCACAGTGCATACAATCATTATGCACTACAGACATGTATTTAAAAAATAAAAGCTGGAAAAGTCAAACAAAGAAAATAAGTAAAAGAAAATATGAGCCCACATATACGGAATGTTTATTTTTTGCTAGGCGCAGATCTAGGTACTCATGAGGATTGAGTAATTTACTTCTCAAAACATTTCTGGAATAAATACTATATTTTCCATGGGAAAGCTGATGTAGAGAGGTTAGTATCTTGTCTAAGGTTACACACTAATTGAAGAGACAGGATTTGAATTCAGGCATTCCGGCTTCAGAACCATTTTGTGTGTCTCTAGTTAAATAATTTAAAAATACTAGAATATATGAAGAAAAAAATAATCATCTATTGATATTCCATTATCCAGCATGAACCATTGTTAATATCTTGAACTATTTTGACTTCTATTTTCTTCTTTGGAGAAAAATATTCCATTTTATACAGCTATCCTATCATATCTTTCTAGAAGCAATAGGCAGCTATGTGCCAGGGTGAATTTATAAACAATTATTCTCATTAAAAAATGTGCCAGCATGGTGACACACACCTGTAATCCCAGCACTCTGGGAGGCTGAGGAAGGAGGATCACAAGGTCAAGCCTAGTCTAGGTAGTTGGCCTCACTGAGCTGGAGATGTACATAATTGTGAAGGCCCTGCATTCAAGCCATAGTACTGCAAAAAGAAAAATAGGGAAGAAGAAAGGGAGTAAGGAAAGAAGGTTAAAAGTGAGGGAGAGGAGCGCTGGGAGGAGGAGGAGGAGGCTACTTACAGCAGGACTGCTAGAATTTCGAGGTTGGTCTAGAATACATGCAAAACAAAACAAAAATTCAAATGATGCAGAAAAAGTAAAAAAATGAAGTAAGCATCATCAGCATTAGATGACCATCATTTTAAATATTCTGTGCATATATTCAGATAGGAGAATAGATCAATAAGGAAAAATTCAGTTATAGGATGATTATTGCCTTTAGCAGGTAGCATTGGGAGAGGGTGGCACAAGGGCTTCTGAGTTGCTGGTAATAGTTCTGTTTATTCACCTGAGTTGTAGAGAATGAGAATATTAGTCTTGAAATAATTAATTGAAGCTGGGCATGGTGATGCATGCTTGTAATACCAGCACCTGGGAGGCTGAGGCAGGAGAATCGCCGGAAGCTTGAGAGTAGGCTGGGTTACATGTTCAAGGCCAGCATAGACTACATAGCAAGACCTTGTCTCAAAAAACAAACAAAAAAATTGAGCTGGACACTTATGTTTCATTTTAAAAGTTATTAATGCAGTTATATTGTAGTTGCTACTTACTATGAAGTGTTCAGTAGAAAATATCAAAGTGAAATTGAAGACATCATTGAACAATAAATATTTCTTTGCTACAAGAAATATTTTCTTTTTGTTTTCTTTTATACCCAAATATTTTCTAAAAGATTCCCTCTTGGATCTGGAAGTGTAGCTCAGTGAGAGAGCATACGCTTAGCATGCTCGAGGCTCTGAGACAGTCCTCAGCACCAAAACAAAAAAAAGATTCCCCATAAGGTTAAGAAATGACTGAAAATGTTAAGCATTTATATTCATATTTTGTGAGGTTTCATGTTCAAAGGGTTTCAACTTGTGATAACCCCTGATAGTTCATGTCTGAGAATCCCTCATCTGCCTTTATATTAGAATGGCATTCTGAGCCATACTTTTTCTCTGAGCAGAAGTTGATAGACATTGCTCTAGTATTTGAGCGTCAGTATATTTTGACAAATGTGTTGTCACATGGAAATTGAAGGACCTAGCTTTTTGTCACAGGTCCTCTCTTCCCTACCCCCAAAAGGGACTTAATGTGTCTTTTTTTGTAGCCTTTTACAAATTGACTTTTTTCTGTTAATAGGAACCAGATGATACAGTTATCTCAACTTCCATGGTGCCTAAAGAAAGTGACCAAAAAATACCTCCAGCTCAAGTCCTCAGCCCTAGGACAAGGAAGCTTCCAAAAGGAAAAAGGTAACATTACTGCAGGCTTCAATGCTTATAGTCTGTTTGCAAAGAGATTTGAAAAGTAAAAGGTAGGTCCTAAATTTAGCTGTGGAAGCCAGTATGAAATATTTATTAAAGTATGTATTACAGTTACTATTGTAACATATCTGGCTACATGGTCACTTTTATTGCAGACATGAAAACAGAGCTGTAGCCTCATCATTGGATTCACCTTTCTCCCAGAGACCAAGAAAGAGGTTAACAGAACAAGAACTACATGTGGTGTCAGAGAAACTGTCTCAACGGCTGTCTGAACTAGACTGGGCAAGTCTTTTTTTTACTATATATTGAGATTGCTGTGGTCAATAGGCAATTTCAGTACTCTCCCAATGGAAGGTAAAAGCTAACCTTAGGTACTGAACATAGTTATGTCTTAGTTACTATGAAAATGTTTCAGAAGTTAAGCAAGTAGGACATGAATCTTGATCTCTTTTAGGATATAACCAAATACAGCATAGATTTATCCATTTATCAGTTGTGATGAAAACTAAATCATTTAATATGAATGATTATGTTAAACTATTTAAATGTATCTGTTACCTTTGGGGTTTTTTTTGGTACCGTGATCAAATTTGGGACCTTGTGCTTGCAAGGCAGGCAGCGCCACCGCTGAGCTAAATCCCGGCCCTTTAAATGTATCTGTATAGTTTCCCTTTGTCATTAAAGACAAATCTGGTATAAAGTTGATCATTAATTCTCACAAAATACAATGGAGTAACACTGAATGACTATATTAAATCCTTATGACTTATGGAAGTCATAAAGGGAACTCATTAGTTCATAGCACCGATACCCACCTGTTAAAAGGCTAAACTTGCATAACCATCTAAAAACTAGTGACTATTAGAGAAAACTTTAGTCTGTTCTCTTCTACCAGTTTACATTTTGCTGAAATTAATGAAAGATGTTGAAAAGAATTTTCTCAATAGATGTTAAAAAGTGCCCTGGGTCATCAAATTAAAGAAAAGACTGACCATAAAGAAGACAGTGGAAAGAAAGAGGACAGCAGCGATGAGGGGACACTCTCGCAGCACAGTGACAGCGTCATGGAGTGTGGGCCAAAGAAGCTAAGGCCAGGTACTTCCCCTGAAGATGTCTAGACCAGGGGTGTCCATGTTCACTACTTAGGTAGTCCCATGTGTTTTTAATGACTCCTTTTAAACATTTCAGAAATACATAGAAGTAATAAAATACATCAAAGTTGGTGGTGTTTTCTTTTATCACTGTTTTTATACTCTTATACTATACATTACTTATCCAAATATACTACTGTATTATTTTATAATTTTTAAATTTATAGCGATGCTGGGTATACTTTTCTGCAACTTGTTTTTTTCTGTTGACATTGTTTTGGAAATCTATTGATCCAGTTCATTCATTTTAGCTGTGATGTAACAAAGTTTCTTTTTCTTTTGGTTTGGTTTTTTTTTTTTGGTACCACTCAGGACCTTGCGTTTGCAAGGCAGGCAGTGGCACCACTGAGCTAAATCCCCAGCCCAGTAGAAATTGTCCTATGTTTTGTTCTTTTTCATTTATTTATTTATTTTTTATGGTACCTGGGACAGTTTTTACAGTGTATCACTGGTATATTTATCCATGAGGGAACAAACCAGACTTCATAGACAGTGCATAACCACATAAATGTAGTCAATCTAATTGTAAGCATGATGCCTTGTAAGTATTTATAAGACATATATATGTAGTTATATCCCCTCCTCAAGACATAGAATTTACCTTTTCTTGCTCGCTGCCCCTACTGCAAGAGTACTTTCCATAGGACTTTCTGCACAGCAAGCATTCCACATGTTCAATTCAGTCCAAAATTGAGTATAAATGCTAAGTATCTATTTAAGACACTGGAAATTTATGTGCATTTCTCTCTTATTTGTATGATTGAAACTCAAATTAGTTAGGAAACAGTACACTTAGCACATTCATTCATCATTCTCTTTGGATCTGGTGAGAGCCAATTATTTGATTTCCAACTTAACATTTCTGGCTGTCAGGAACTAATGATAAATGGCTTTTCTGTGTTGTAGGACTTTCTGTGCACAGAAAGCCACATTTCAGGTCCCATTCACTGTCTCCACCTCCCATTAACAAACACAAACAGTTCCAGATAGAAGAAAAAAGACAACGCAAACAAAAAGAAACAGACATCCGCCAGTTCCAAGCAAAGGTACGTTCCCATCTCTTGACTGCTACTGGGCAGTAGGCAATTCCATTTCCCCTCAGCCAAATGCTACGCTGAGCATGCTGCTGATTAAAGGCTTAAAATGCATTTAATATGCTTGAGTTGAGTGAACGACAATATTATGTGTTATGTTTATGCCCTCCTTAGGGAGCATAAAATTGTACTCATGAAATTCTCAAGAAAATAACCTAGTCAGATACAGTTCAGTGTTGCAGTGGATTAAGCAAAAGGAAATCAGTGTGGGTTGGTATTTTATTTTATTTATTTATTTATTTATTTTTGGTACCGGGGATCAAACTCGGGTCCATGCACTTGCACAGCAGGTGGCAAAACCACTGAGCTAAATCCCCGGCCTATGGGTTGGTATTTTGGAGAGACTTTCAAAGATGAAGAGAATTTAAGATGGACTAAATGTAACGGGCCACTGGAGATAGGAGATGAGAAAGGGCTCATTAGAGAAGAGATGGCTGGATTTCTACAAGAAGACTGGTATGATTACCACAAAAACCTTTCTGCTGTGGGACAAGGATTTTGAAGTATTGAATGAATTCAGAACACTTAAGTTGTCTGCTGTAGTAGATTTTATAATGTAGTAGTATTTGTAATGGTGAAAACTGAAGTTACTTCAGATAGATGTCTTAGAACCAGTTACTAGTCAGTATTAACTAGGCATGTGATTTCCACTTGGGAGTATCAGAATAATTACAAAACCTATGAGAACAAAAACTGCATAATGTACAAAAACAAAAAGCAAAACAAAAAACCCCTGCATAATGTAAAATTTTACATCCCAATTACACAGTCAAGGGCTGGGGATTTAGCTCAGTGGTTCCACAGCATGCCTCACAACTGCAAGGTCCCAAGTTTGATCCCCGGTACCAAAAAAAAACAAACCAATTACACAGTCAAAATTGTGTATTTATAATAGCTGAAAGGAATTTTTTTTAAAGTGAATTGAGCTTGATACTTTAGAAGTGAACAGGATCCCAGGTGATTGATTATTTTTCCTTCATTTTCACTTGTACATGTCTTTAATAACTATGACATTTTCCTCTTTAGGCATTAACTGAAGCATTTGAAAGGGAACTAAGAAGAAATAGAGTTCAAGAGAATATTGGCCCTCAAGGGATAAATGAGGAGAAGGAGGAAACAGTGGGTAAAAGTCTTCATGTAATAAATGCATGATATCAGATCAGTAGAAAGTACCAGGAGGATCTTTATGAAAGAAAAAAGGACCAATAGGGTTTTAATCATTAGCTGTTTAGGAAAAGTTAGGATTTCATGTCATGATGTAGAATTTTCTTGTATTCAAGTCACTGATACCGGACAACACGGTTCCAAAGAAAACTATTAGTGTTTTTCCTTCTACTTAAAGCTTCCATCAGTTTTTCAGGGTTTCTACTCCCTAGCAGTTCACCAGGGGGTTAAAAAAATGGTCTGAAAAAAAAAAGGGTCTGTGCTGACAAAGGTAAAAGGGAATAAGAGAAGCCAGGCAAGGTGGCACACGCCTGTAATCCTAGCACTCAGGAGGCTGAGGCAGCAGGATTACAGCAAGTTGGAGACCAGGCTGGGATACATAGTGAGCTCAGTGTAAGCCTGAACTATATAGTGAGACCCTGCCTCGAAAAAAGGGTTGGGGATGTAGCTCAGTGCAAAGGTCCTGGGTTCAATTCCCAGTACAACAAAACAAAACAACAAAAGGGAATAAGAGAAGACTGAGAACCCCAAATATTTTATACCTAGTTAAACCCAAAGTAGCCAGGTTTGGTGGTACACGCCTGTAATTCCAGCACTCAGGAGGCTGAGGCAGGAGGGTTACCGAGAATATGAGGCCAGCCTGAGCTACATAGTGAGTTCAAGGCCAGCTTGAACCTACATAGTGAGACCTTGTCTCAAAAAAAAGAAACTCAAAGTAAAAGTTTTCATTGTTTTTCAAAATAATGGCTTACAGAAACTAAGTGAAAATACGGGGAAATGCTTATTCTAAAATGTTAACGAGCAAAACCAGTTATAAAGTATAGAAGAGTAACATCTAAGCATATTGTGTAGTTGCTTGAGAATTTTGTTAGTCTACATGAGAAGAGTTGTCACAGAAACATTACAACATTAATAGTGGTTGTGCTTAGGGTGTGGGACTATGGTGACTAAAACTAGAAAAAGATCCAGAGCTTTTTCAAATTCCAAGGGATGCTAGAGGCCAAAAAATCCCTGTTTAACTTAGAATAGATGAACACTAACCACATTTTAGAAATTTTAAGTAGAGTGATTTTGCTAGGGATTAGCTGCTGTTATCAATGTGATATTTAAGATGAGGTATTAAAGAGCTGTTAGACCTTTCTCATTTCTGTTGTTTTATATGTGCTTCTAAGGAAAAAGTACACAGAGAAGCTGTTCATAAAGGAACTCCAAAACACAGTCAACCGTGGAAGATTTCCTCCAGAAAAACCACAACTCAGAGTCCCAGAGGGGGCCTTCCGAAGCCAAATAAAGCAGCTCCGAGTAAGAACCACAAAGTTGTACTTTATGGAAAACTGGCGTCCTTTGAAAGTATGTGCTGCATTCCAAGGACACAGCACTGAAAACTTAACATCTACCAGTTGGTAGCAGAAAGTTCCTTCTTTAAAAGTCACTGCCATATGGCTGGTTTTCTGCAAAGAGCTAAAACTCTTTAAATATGGAAGTACCTTAGGGAGGCCCAAATGTTGGCACCAGAATGCCAGCATTACTGCCTGCTGCTCCAGCTTGAGCCTCTGTTCACTCACTCTGGTTGCCTTTTTTATTTTTTATTTTTCTGGTACCAGGGATTGAACTTGGGATCTTGGGTTTATGAGGCAGGTGGTGGCACCACTGAGCTAAATCCCTGGCCCTGGTTGACTTTTTTTAAATTGATAGAATGCAAAGAATGCTCCAAGGCAGGTAGATGGCCTGTTTGGCTTCTTTATATTGAGAGTTGGCACCAGTGAATGTTAGGGTCTTGTTACAAGGAAACAAAGTCATTCAAAATGCCAGGCTTCCCAAATATCCCCAAAGACTGCTGGCCTTCCAACTACATCTCATTAGAGCTAAGCACGTGCATACCAGGAGGGCTGAGGAGTCTTCTCTGTTAACCTACACGAAGCATCTGTCCACAGGCCCTGTGGGGGTTGAGCACTTAGGTTGCAGCTGTCAGGACCACACGTGATCAGTCAGAACTGTTGAGCTATCTTCATCTCTACCAATAGTTGGCCTACGCTCATCAGAGAAAACAGATATAATAAGAACACTTAGAATGATTCTTTTCAGGATCAGTGCCACATAACTTGGTTTTTGGTCCATCAGGAAGGCGAGGCGAGAGTTTTTGTTGGCATGTGTCAGATCAAAGCATCTCATGTTTCCTTGCAGTGAAAGTAAATGAACACAGTCTTCTGCCCCTGATGCTGGAGCAGTTTCCATTTCTCTATGTCTCTGGCCCAACACTAAGCAAAATGTGGAAACAGCAAATTGCACATGTTGAACAGCTCAAAAAAGATGCATGTAGAGAAAATCGATCAAAGAAGAAACTCTGGGATGAAGTAAGTTACTGTTACTTTGAAGTATAAGATTACAAACCAGAAAGGGGAAGCACTTCCTTGAATAATACTTCTTTTTTTTGGTACTGGGGATTGAACTTGGGACCTTGCCGCCTGCAAGGCAGGCAGCAGAACCACTGAGCTAAATCCCCAGCCCCCTTGAATAACATTAACCTACTTGCCTTGTGTTGCCCATAAAGATAGAAGAAGCCCTGAGAAGGCATGACCTCCTTACTGCCCTTGTCAAGAAAGAATATGAACATAACAAGAGACTGGTATGTTAAGAGCAAGTTGGGAATTACAATTCTGAACTTGGAAGTTATACTCATTTCCTTATCTGTATAGCTGGGTAACACGACTCTTCTAACACTCACCTAAGGAAGCATCTAGGGCTTTAACCAAAATTGATGAGAGGAGGAAGTGATAGTACTTTATATCCAGTTTCATTTAGTCTTTATAGTGACAAATTACAGAACATGATTTTTATGAAATGAAAAATGTAAGGCTTTAAAATGTTGAGTAATCTACCCTAGGTCTCACCATGATAAGCAAGGGATGCAATTGAGATTGTTTTCCAGGTGTTGGAGGCTTTATGTGCGTAACCTCATTTCCTTCCTTCTGTTTGGTCAGATACTGTCTAATTTCTGTAGTTTTGGCCCAAATACTTGTGACAACCCAAGCTTTGCTTGAAAGTCACAGCATGGCATTTTTCTACTCCTGTTAAACTGTTACCGAGTGGAGCCCGTGCCCTGTGCTGGAGTAGGGGAATTAGGCCCTCAGAGCAGGACTGCTCAGGGTGTGGACTTCGTTCTGTAGGATTGGGAGCTTATCAGTGCTGCTCTTCAGACTGAGGCCATGGAGCCAAAAGCCTGAGGGGATCCCGGGGGCTGATGGTCTTAGACACTCTGTGCCCAGGCAGGAGGCCACTGATCCTGTGTGGCTGGCTGGGGAGATGAGAATGAAATTGAGACTGTGTTTTCCTCTTCTCCTATGTCCCTTTCTTCCCTTCCCCTTTCCCAGCAAGACTTTAGAGACCGCATTTGTAGACAAAGGCTGACCCAATCAAAGCTAAAAGAAAATCATCAGCAAATTGTTCGTGCCCGAAAATACTACGATGATTATAGAGTTCAGTTGCGTGCAAAAATGATGAGAATGAGGACCCGGGAAGAAATGGTAAAGTGTGGCTACTCTACCAAGCAGTTTACAGTGAATTTTGTCTGTTCTCTCTCAGGACCAATCTGACTCATCTCAGCTTGCATCCAGAATCCAAATGTAATTGCTTCTCAGCCTTTTGGCTAAGATCAAGTGCAGAATCCAAATGCATATATATATATATATATATTTTTTTTTTTTTAGACAAGGTCTCACCATGCAGTACAGGCTGACCTTGAATTTGCAGCCATCCTCATGCCTCAGCCTCCCGAGTGCTGGGATTATAGGAATATGCCACCACACCCTTCCTGAAAGATACACAGATATTTTTTTAAAGAGTAGGAAAATTTAATGGGGAATAGGAGTAGGGAGTTAAGAGTAGCTCCTGGGAGACAGGAGGGGTCCTGAATGGGTTGCCCTTGTATACATATTTTAAAAGGGATAATTATTATGGTATGTGAATATGTTTTTTGTGGTTTTCGTTTTTGTTTTCTTTTTTGAAACAGGGTCTCGCTATGTAGTTCAGGCTGGCCTTGAACTCATTGTGTAGACCAGGCTGCCCCTGAACTCGCAGGCATCCCCCTGCCTCAGTCTTTCAAGCGCTGGGATTACACCCAGCTGTGAATATCTGAATAAAACTGATTTTAAAAAACTCTGTGGGCCGGGGATTTAGCTCAGTGGTTCCGGCACCTGCCTCACAAGTGCAAGGTCCTGAGTTCAATCCCCGGTACCAAAAAAAAACCTTTGTGAAGGGCTGGAGATTTAGCTCAGTCGTTTCGCCGCCTGCTGCGCAAGTGCAAGGACCCAAGTTCGATCCCCAGTACCAAAAACAAAAAAACAAAAAAAAAACTTTGTGAAATACAGACAGTATATACCTTTAGTTGAACAAAATGATATTCTGTAGTGATAGTTCAGCATACATTCATCTTTATAATTATATAACTGACAGATATTTAAGAAGCTGTTTGAAGAAGGCTTACAAATTCAGAAGCAAAGATTACGAGAGCTAAGAAACTATGCCAAAGAAAAGCGAGATGAAGAAAAAAGGCAGCACCAGAATGAACTGGACTCAATGGAGAACTACTATAAGGACCAGGTGGGCTGTTGCTCCCTTTAGAATGTGCTTGATCCTGACCACCTCTGTCAGAAGTCTGCTTTGTCTACTGATACTAACCCTCCATGTGTTCACTGGGACTTTGCAGCCCATACAGGCTGAAGTGACCCCGTTTTTAGGACTAAAATGTAAGCTAATTCTTGGTCATAGAGCACAATATATATATATGTATTTTTTTTGAGTACAACATATATTGCCCTGTTGCCATTAAGATAAAGATTTTAAGCCTATGAACAGTAAATATAAAAATTCTTATATTGGGACTACAAACATTAAATGTAATGTTTGTTTTTGTTTTTGTTTTTTTCTCCCTATGAACAGTTTTCATTGCTGGCAGAAGCCATATCACAGGAACATCAGGAACTCAAAGCCAGAGAGAAAGCCCAGGCCCAGGTAATAACAGGATAGAAATAATTTATTTGCATTGTTAGGAAATAGAAAACAACTGTATTATAAGTTTTAAGGGGATGGAGAGAAAACTAATAAGAAAATCCATCTATATTCCAAGACATTTATCCAAGGTTTAACTTTACCTGTTTTGGTCTCTGTAAGAACTACTTCTAAATTATTAAAATTATTGCAGGAGCTGGATAAGCTGGAAGAGGGAGAGGGAATAAAAATAGATGAGGGCCTAGATAAATACTGTGAATAGCAGGATGACATGAGTTCTCTTTCAGACATTACATAAGGTGAAGAGAGAACTGAGATCTAAGATGGAGAAGGAAATCCAGGAACTGCAGAACATGATAATGCAGAATGATGATGATGCTTTCTTCCGGGAGTTGGAAGTTGAGCGCTTCAGAGCTCGGCTACAGCTGGCTTCCTTTCAGTACAGTAACAGTCCCTTCCCATGAGGCCCGACTTGACAGGTGACATTTCTGGACAGAGCTAGAATTGAGCCAGTAAACAGTCTAAACCAGAAGAATAACTTTTAAATGCCTTATCTGTGTATTCATTCCAATACTTAGAATTTTTAAAATAAAAATTTTTCTTAAGTTAACTGTTTTAAATTTATAACTTAAAACCTGGAAAGGGCTGGGGATTTAGCTCAGTGGTGCCGCCACCTGCCTCACAAGTGCAAGATCCCGAGTTAGATCCCTGGTACCAAAAAAAAAAAATCCTGGAAAAAGGAGAATAAAAGCACAGATCCTTAAGTCAATTAACTCTTGCTTGAGCAGCGAGCCCAAATCCCCCCCCCCAGAAAAACCACACTAATTGAGAGAAAAGCTAGAAATGTGGGCTGGTCATTAAGAGGGGGCCTTAAAATTAGGGTTGAACTTTGACTATACATTATTTGTCCAGGTTTCTCAGATGACTGGGAGACATGCATTTTGGCTTCTGTGGTATAATAGCAGTGAGGAGAGGCTACACGTTTGCATGTCAAAGAGCACAGGGGGACTGGAAAGTGGGCAACAGTACACCAAGCCCCCTTCCCTGGTAGTGGGAATACTAGAAAGAAAACCCCAGTCAGTGGTGAAAGCCAGGAGTCAGAGGCAAGCTTCAGAGCCACTGAGGATAAGGGGACCTTGCTGATCAAGGCCAGGAATAGATAAGAGGGTACCACAACAGGACAGCATCCAGTGAGGAGCATGAGGAGGTTACAAGTGATGAGAGGCCCAAGGAGGCCTCAAGGTGAGAGATGGTACTGTCCTGGAGAAGAGTAGGCAACTGGACTGACAATTATGGTTTCAAGTGCTGCCCTCTTAGACTGGCAGCTGACAGAAATAGGGCCACCTAGCAAAGGTCCCTTTCTCTTTGCTCCTAAAGCAAAGCCGTGTGTGTGTGCGCGCGCGCACGCACGCGTGCATATGACTAGGAATTGAACCCATGGCATTGCATATGCTAGGCAACTGCTCTAACACTGAACTGTATACTTCCAGCCCTCTTTTTAAAGACAGAAACTTCCCAAGTTGCCTCAAATTTGTGATCTTCCTTCTTGACCATCCCAAGTAAAACCCACTGTGTTAGGTCTAGGATTCAGAAACTTGCTGAAGTGGGATGATCCCATGATGACCGACTTTGCCATTTGCAACCTTGATTTTTGAGTACTTGGTTTTGGGTTTGGTCTTTGCTGAAATATAGGCTGGAACCATTAGTTTGGAAGTTCATTAGTTTATTAGTTTTCTAACAGCCATCCAAAGCTCTATACCTCGCAGCCTGTATAGAACCTGGCACACAGGAAAAAAGTAGGTATTTGTTGGTCATATTTAGGGAGAAATACCTTTTTTGGGGATAGGGGGATATTGGGGATCGAACTCAGGACCTTACACTTACAAGGCAGGTGTGGTGCCACTGAGCTAAATCTCCAGCCCGGCAAATACCTTTTGAATAAAGTAAATTTTAAAACTTTGGTCTTGTCTGGGCCAGGGATTTAGCTCAGTGGTTCCAGTGCTTGCCTACCAAGCAAAAGGACCCGAGTTCGATCCCCAGTACCAAAAAAAAAAAAAAAATTTGGTCTTGTCTAGTTTGCTAAGAGTGTTAACCTATGTAATTGCCTCCTCTATCCTATTTTCTAGATGCAGAGTTGTGAATTGTAAACCTTAAAGTCTATAGCTGTTAGGGAAAATATAACTGATATCCCCTTTTCATTTTGAGGATTTAGCTGCTCAGTACCATGGCAGGGCTGGTAAATGTGAGGCCTCTGCTATACCTCTACCCTCAGATCCCTTACAGATCTGTTTACAGACTGGTTTTGGAACCACATCATTTTCCCCCACTAAATCCAGACTGGCTTCAGAAATCCCCGTGTTTTTTTTGTTTTTTTTTTTTGGTACCGGGGATCAAACTCGGGTCCTTGCGCTTGGGAGGCAGGCGACGGAACCACTGGGCTAAATTCCCTGCCCGATCCCATCTTTCTTTACACAGCTTCCCAACAGGTACTGGCAACTTAGCAAACTGCCATGGCAGGAGAAACAGGCACCTTCCTGCTCACGCTGGAGACAGAAAGGGTCCTAAGCTCTCTGAAACTCTAATGGACAAAGTCATCAGCTAGGGAAGGCATGTATTCTCGAACTTCTCACTATAGAACCAATCGATTTTTTTCCAAAACAATTCATTACAAACTCAGTATTCTTTAAAAACTTTGATGCTGTGACAGTGCAAACAGCATTCATTTTATTGCTCAACTTCGGCATGGGCACATACATAGTTAATTCTTAAAAACCATTTATACAGATGTTATTGATAAAGCTCATGTAACAACTTAGTGAAAATACAAAGAACATCAAAGCTAAAACACTCTGTAATAAATACAAATACAATGAAAATGATAAAACTTTGTTTTTAAAGTCAGTTTGAGAGAAGGAAGAATATTACATAAAGTGAACTAATTACATCTAGAAATAAAACAACTCAGCATTTGGTACAATCACCATCCTAGCATAAGAATGCTGAATACCACAAATGGTACCTGTTGGCTGTAAGCTACAGCTTAAAGACAGAAGCAGAAAGAGCTGCTCTACCAAACTGTGAAGGTGGCCGGAAGCATCTAACTCACCAGCGCAGACAGTCCAATGAACCAGAAGTTGAAAGCAAATTTAGTGTTGTAAAATAAAGCAAATTATATTGCATTTAAAATAAAAGAAACTTGTGCTCTGGACTGTAAATGTAATAAAGAAAAAAAGATTTAAAAAAATAAATCCATTCAGGGCAACAAACTATGTGCAAAACAAAATGTACACTATACACAGGTACTATTTAAAGACACTACACCAAGAAGTAAGGCCCTCTGAAACTCACTTCTGTACTGCCTATGAGCTCTACAAAGGAATCAAGCTCTTAATTAAGCATTCATGATGGAAAGGCGACAGTATGGGAAGATGACATCACATATCTGAAATAACTAGGGGAAAGGTAAGAAAAAAACCCAGTTGAGAGGGACATGTGGAAATAAATATTCACATTAAACACGAGGTGCAAATCCATGGTTGAGTGACACGGGAGTTTTGTTTGCTTAGCACCTATTTAGAAGTAATCGGATAATGTAATTTTGAAATTGAAATCTAAGTCATGTGAAATCTAAACCATTTTGGTACATCATGTTGGTGATACCATACGTACACAGTTATGCAGGATGATTTCTTGCTTTTAAAGCTCCATTAAGTCATTACTATAATGGTAAAAGGCACTCAAAAAGTGATGGTATTTGCCTGCTTTATATTGTACATAAAAACAACTAATAGCATTTTATTATTACTGCATCCCTGTTATCATTTCTCTAAAGTGTTTATCTTGTACTTTTTACTGAAGATTTTAAGAGTAGGCACAATTACAAACTGCATTAGTGCTTTAATATAAAAAAGATGGATCTGCAACTAATAAGGTACTATCAAAAAGCTAAAATTTGGGCTGGGGATTTAGCTCAGTGGTTTCATTGCCTGCTGCGCAAGCGCAAGGACCCAAGTTGGATCCCCAGTACCCCCCAAAAAAGCTAAAATTGACTGATAATCAAATAGCATAGAAACCATTTCTGTACACATCACGATGTTCTTCAGTATCACTAAGAATGCAGCAGGAAAAAGTGGGAAGAAAAGGTCGGTATAAACACATGACCACAGCACAGTTATGACTGACTAGTTTACTTGTAGCAGTCAAATTTGGCCAAATGAGTGATATTAAAATACTTGGAAACTACAAAAGTAGTTCTCAACATTTTTTTTTTAAAGCAGCAGTCTCCATTTATTCTAGCTGTTCCTCGGCACCCCACCCTACTACCCAACCCCATGAAAGCTTACTTAGAATTCCAATAAAGAGAAAAAAAATTGGAGCTGCTCTGGGTCAAGCGGGATGGGGATAGCAGAGGCTCCTGCTTCAATACCAACCAGACTGTCCTTCCCTCTTTTTTTGTCCCTCCTCTCTTAAACCACTACTCAATCCTCAGGCTCCTCTGAGGAACACTTTGGCTTCAAGAATACAGACAAACACACTTCATCACTTGAAACAACACAAAAGACTATTCACTTGATAATTAACTTGTGAAATTTAAAGTCTATCATCAAAATTTGCTATTCTTATTTCACATGAATATTTAAAAAATGAATAGTACATTCCTTTTTTGATGGTTGAACTTAAAAGTCCACGGTGATTTCTTCCAATCTCTCACAGAGTTTTGGTTGATTTGTCGGGTGTGCAACACGCCACTCACCTTGAAAGCTCAATCTGGACATTTGGAAATCAGGTGCAGATCTTCAGCACTGAGGGAACTGGGATTCCCTTACTTTCAAAGTTAATTCTTCCACTTTAAAGTGATTTGTATCATGGAATTAGAATCACTCTTTCTTTAGTAATCTCATTCCCTACCCACCCACCCCCAGTACCAGTTTCAGTTCATCTTGTGAGATAAGAGCAGGGTTTTCTAAGCTTGCTAAATAATCTTCAGAGCAAAATTTTCTTTTTTCATAATTTTAGCTGATTAAAATTATGAGCAACTAAACAAAGCTTCAGCATGGTTTACTTGATAGAAACTGAATGTAATTAAAATATAAATTAGGTGCACTTAGTAGAGACTTTGGTTTACAGGAATAGTATATATAGGAAAGACAAGCTGACCCAGCAAAAGAATGAAAACCCCACCCCATCCACATGCTCTGAGAAGCTATAAAAATGCAGTATTTCCATTTAAGATAAAAAGTAAATCCAAAATACCTGATCATATTGATTCAAGATAAAAACATTGTTTTTTAAAAAGTCATCTTAAAAACAAGGAACCCTTGAAGACATCTTATGGTAGCAAACTACTAAGTTTAGACTAAATGGTTGCATTAGGAAGTTCATAACCAAAATAATACAGCTGTATTTCCAGGAAATTTGTGGTTGAAAAAATATAAAAACAACCCACTTAGGTGAAGTTGAAACACATACTGCAAAATACAAATGCTCTGCTATAGAAAAAACAAACATGTAAATGGCTTAATCTTGTAAAGATAATGATTGTTTTAGCCAACTGTTTATAAAGTTAGAATAATTCAAAATAACTTTATTCTTTTTTACAAAGAGCAAGTACAGGAGCTGTTCAAAATCATGTACTCAATCAAAATGAAATGTGACTTGTACCGACTGCTGAAGTTGTCTTGATGTGTGAAAGACTTGAAATCTGTGAAGCGATTTGAATAGATTACCTTTTATAAAAATAGTAGTAGTCTTTAAGTGTAGAATACTGCCTAACTGTGGAGATGCAAGAAAAGTCAGCATTCTTTAGGTTCAAGATATTAATTTTAAATAGCAGCTGAATGTGTCCTCATGGCATAGCATAAAGACCTTTTTTCCTTGAAAAGGAATTTCAAAATTGTCCTTTCCCCTCACAGTGTCCTTAAACTTTAAAAAAGGAGGGAGAGAGGGTGTTTTCCTGTATTTCAGCATTCTCTGAAACTGCTGAAGGGAGGCTGTCGGTCAGGGGTATAAATAGAGTCCTGGGTAAGTCCTTGAAATTCATCATTCCACAGCAAATCCACATGTTTCTTCAATGGCTGTTAGCAGCTTTTCATAGAGCTTTTCATAGCTTTCATAGGGCGGAATGTCTATTCGATTGAAGCTGTGAATAAGCAAATCAGACTTTACATAGTCCATTCAAAAAAATAAATTGGCCTACTAAGTGTATACTAATACAGCCACATTATTCTTTGTGTCACATAGAAAGTTAAAATATTGTATTTCTCCTAAAGTCAATCACCACTTTGGGGTTTTTAAAATTTCTGAATAATCTTACATCACTCTTTTGAGTTGCTTATTCCTCCTAAAGGTCCTTTTACTAGTAAGGAAATAAATGAAAAGTCAAATCCATTCAGAACTAACAACTACTTGGGACAGTGGGAATAGCTATAGAAATCACTTACCACGTGTGGGCTTTGGGCAGATTGTTAGTGCAGGCGTCGATCTGGTGTATGGTGAAGAGCCGTGGGCCTGCAGCACCTGTGTAGGAGGGAAATGTGGGTCAGATCACTGCAGGTACATGGACTGATCCATCTCCACAATTTCAGAGTAGAACTGATACATACGCCACACGGTCTAGGGATAGGGGAATGCTGTAAATGCACATCTGCTTTTCCTCAGGGTAGCAAGAAAAGAATCTAGGTTTTGAAAGCTGGAATTAATTCTGGATAAGACTGGCTGCCTTAATATGCTAGCATTTCAGTTGGAGAAAAAGTTCAGAATTGAAATCCTTTTGCCAACTTCTGTTTTATAGAAGATCAAAATCCCAAAAGAATAAGAAAAATAATTGGCCAAGATAAATCATACTGTGTATGCACACACTCAGAAAGATGACAGCCTAATGCAAACTTAGATGTCACGCCTCAAACTGAGCTGAGAGCAAGATTAGCAGTATAGCATAAATTTCAGTTAACATACACACCCCATAGAAATATATGGAGGACAACTACAACTTCTAACTCCCCAAATAGGGAAAGTAAGCACAATTTAAAGTAGACTTTGCCAGTGTACTCTAAGCATATGCAGTGTTGTGGCACCGATGAATTATGTACCAGTCCTGATTTGTGTTTCCTCCCTCAGCACCAACAGCAGCAACTTTAAAAATGAAGAGCTTGAGAGGTGAAGGAAGCAACTGCCACCCAGGGAAACATGACAATCATTAGCCATAATAACAACTCATCCAAAAATTAGCAGCTTATTCCACAGAAAACAATTCTCAGAAATGGAATATGGGGCCAGTGATTTAGCTCAGTGGTTCTGCTGCCTATCTTACAAGCACAAGGACCTGAGTTCAATCCCCAGTACCAAAAAAATGGAATATAGCTGAAAATCAATGGTCCGATGCCATGCAATAATTAAAGTGCTCTGGCCAAACAGATGGCCTCCACAAATCATGCTGCCTCTTTCTGTTAAGAAAATGAATAAAAAGGGGAGAGTGGGGAAATGTTTTGTCAGGTTGAGATATGAACATGGAAGCAATCTGTCCTACAGAAATGTGCAACAGAATTAAAAGCGATGTGACCAGAAATGAAAGGCAGAGCATCACCACATACAGTCAGTCTAGCATGCGTCACTCACTACAATCACAGAGAACCCTGCAGAAAAGGCTCTTGGGGGAGAACAAGAAAAGGAAGGAGAAGAAGGTATCATGATGTGAGAGTTACAGATAAGAGAGTGAAAAGAGAATCCGTTCATAAGCACATGGTTTGTAAAATATCAAACAGTGCCCCTCTACCTCCACCCCCAGAACATCTGATGCTATTGTGCCAGCCTGTCCCTCTGGGTTTGTACCTTGTAGTGCTTTGAAGCCCTGCAGAGGCACTCTAGATGATCCTGTTACAAACTGTAGCAATCGCGCTCGCCGCTCTTCATCAAAAAACTCCACAGCTTTCCAGAACCACTTGACAATATTGCTGTCTGGTGTACAGTGCTTTAACCGGGTGTTTACTTTCCAATCATTGACATCTATCTTTCCAAGTCCACAAATAATGAGCTGTTAACATATTGCACAAGTGATGAGCCAGTGGAAACCAAAGCCATGCCAAAAATTCCTCAAAACACAACTTTAGATTTGCAGTGTTGATCCTCATTTGCTATTCTTAATCAAAGGTGCACATCAGAAGCATCTGGAAAGCCTTTCAAAATATACATAACAGATCCTCTGCCCTGCACCTGGTTGACAGGGTTTATATTTTATTTTATTTTTATTTTTTTGGTACTGGGGATCGAACTCGGGTCCTTGTGCTTGCGAGGCAGGTGGCGGAACCACTGAGCTAAATCCCTGGCCCCAGGGTTTGTATTTTTAAAACTTCCAGAGGTATCTACTCACTGCAGACTCCTTTCCCATGTTCTGAGAACCACCACTGTGTTGGACTCAACAAGATTAAAGTACTGGGAAAATTCCCAATTTCAAAAGAGAATTCTAAAATTTTAAAATGTGGACAGAAATTAAGACTCAAAAAGTAAATACAATTTATATGTGCCTCCTTAGATGGGTCTATTATTGTGGTTTCAACACTATCAACTTTGTGAGTTGTGGGGATTGAGTTCCTCCCTAGCCAAGTTTCCTCCCCTGTAGCATGGGAGTTAGATCTACTTCACTGCATAGAACCTGTGAAAGGGACTCGGTGGACAGCAACTCAAGAAATGTATGCTGAATATTTGATTAATGCAATGCTTAATAATCCTAAAATTATACATGAAATACATGACACACTGATATAAATGTAAGGTCAGTAAAGATGAACTACATCAAAATCATTTTTAATACCTACATCTCTTTAGGGTCAAAGACTAACTCATATCACTAATCTAACATCTTTTTATAGTGAATTATGATAATATATAGTATAAAACACAATTTAACTTGTATATCCTAATTTTATAGACTTAATCATTAATCTGGTATAACGTTAAGTGCCATATACTTTTCTGAACAGTTTAATAATTTCATTAGCAGAAAAAACTATACAATAAATCCTACTCCTATTGAATGAAATCTCCAATAAAGTCACTATATAGACTTCTAACAGATCACTGAGTTTAAGCCACACTGAACTGGTAACAGGTAGGCCTAAAAGGATTATGGAACACAAAAGATTCTTCCCCATTTCTTTTTTTCAGAGGAGTGGCAGTCATAAGGCAAACCCCGCATTCATTGAGAAGGTCCTATACTTCAGCTTTACTATCACTGCTGCTGTGTCTGCCTCCTCCTCCTGACCATTTATTTCACTAGTAACAATTCAGCATAATCAGGAGGAAGGATACTACTGAGTCAAACCAGTCTTTTTGTATTTATTTGCTACCATGTCTGTTAACAAATTTAATTAGAAAAGACAAATTAATAAAACCATATTCTAAGTTCTCTAGTTTTGGGGGTTTTTTTTGGTACTGGTGATCGAACTTGGGTCCTTGCACTTGCAAGGCAGGCAGCAGAACCACTGAGCTAAACCCCTGGCCCCTAAGTTCTCCAGTTTTAACAGAAACAAAAAACCACAAACTGTTGAGTACATCTGTTAGTATAGGAATATTTCCAAAGGGGTAACTAAGGTATTATTCAGTTTATCCTAAGTGTTTTACTTATTTTATGATCTTGTCTACCAAATGTTTTCTAACAAAGCTTAGTGCAAACAAACCCAATTGAACCTAAGCCTTTATCAAATAAATTTCAATATAGTGGAGACCAATTAAGGTTTTGGTTAATTAAATCAACAACCACTAATTCAAAGAATAAAAAAAATTGGAAGAATTTACAAATAAGACATGAAATCTGTTTAAAGACGACAATAAGGAACTCTTAAGAGTTTTCAAAATAAGGCCAGTGTTGAGCACAGGCACATGCCTGTAAACCCAGCACCAGGTGGCTAAGGCAGTCATGAGTTGCCAGCCCAGGCTACCTAGCAAGTTTAAGGCTGGGCTAGGTTATATAGTGAGACCCTGTCACAAAAAGCCCCAAAAATGTGAAATTCACAATATAAGAGATTGCTCACAGAAATTCCAAACATGAAAAGACTTTTCCTGTGAAAAAGAATTCTCATGGAACTGCAATATAAAATTGCAAAAGCAATAGAAATACAACTGTCCTCTAAAACTAAGAAAAGGAATTCCCAATTACTTTCCTGTTGCACTAGATAATGTCACAACACTAATGCACTGACCTCTAACTCCTTCTCATCAAATGTCTTCAGCAGATGCTGTGGAATTACTTCATTAAATCCTTTCTGCAGAGCCAGGAATTGAGCCTCAATGCCTCGTAAAAATCTCCAGTTCACATACAATCTGTAAATATTGGACAGGATTTTCATATGATCATATACACTCAGATTTGGCAATTATTAAAATTTCTATTTTAGCAACATCACACTATACAAGCATCTAGAATCAGGAATTTAGGCTAAACTCTAAAAAGAAATTTTTTTAGACCCTCAAACTAATGTAGATAAATAGATCCTGAGCTGTGAGGAAGTTCAATGGACATAAAAAGTAGTACCTTTCCACCAATAAAAGCACTATCAATAAAGCAACTCTTCAAATTAGAGAAAGTCCTAGTAAACTGGAAATCTAGAGCTTAGATGGTTCTGAGGTTAAAGTCCCATGGGCTCAAAATGTAGAGCACTGGTGGGGTACATGCTCAGCATGGGTGAGGCTCTGGGTTCAATCCACAGTATCAAAAGAAAAAACATCTTGAAAAAAATTTCCTTCTAAACTTATAGCATATATGCCAATAACCAGAAGAGCTCATTCAATCAAAAATGGTAATTTTTCTGGCTTTATTTGAAAGTATCATTGGAATGTATTAGATGTTTTAGTTATATCTGGGGGAACACTACACAGGAAGAAGAGGTAGAGAATCCTCATATTCAAAATGAGAAGGAAAAGTAAAAGCACTTTTTGAAAGCATTTTTTGAATAAATACTCATGATTCCCTGGAGGCTGTATAAACTCTGAAAGACGCTGTTTTACCAACAGCAAGTACACACTAAACTACATCACTTATGTAATGTGTGCTTTGACTGGAACTTACCATTTATAAATGAACTGCTTTTATTTACCCGTCTTCCCAGGAAACATTCATCTCATACATCTTGGAACTACTTATTTGTCAAATGTAACCTACCAACATTTCCTTTTCCAAACTTGGAAGAAGAGTCCTCTACTTTAATAAACAAATTGCTTAACATTATATCCTTTGGAGGACCTCAGTGTTGTTCATCAGATTAAAGAGACAACAAAATGCACAACTGTTGTCACTGTGCAGTTGCCACTCATATCTGCCATTGGCCAGGGATTATTACCATGTCAGTAAACCTGCGTGAGCCCTGGAGAAAGTGGGTCTAGGAACTCAGGCAATGACAAACCAGATCCTGGAGTGACATGCTGCCAAGACTGGGGAACTTCCCAGTCACTCTTATATTTTTAATTAGAAATGCAATACACCCTTGTTACGTATATGAAGAAAAACCAGATAGTAACTGCAGAGATAGAATGAAATCCGAAAGTCCATTCTCTTCCTCCCCATGGCCCTTTCTATTCCCAAGACATCAACTCTGTTTCCTCTTCCTAGGCCAGTGATGGCGGACCTTTTAGAATTTTCAATGATACAGCCTGCTGCGGCATATGTGCCAGAGGTTCACCACCACTGTCCTATGTAAACACTGAATTTGGTATTCAACCTTCCTGAACATCTTCCATAGAACTACCAAATAACGGAGTTTCTTCCTGTATAATTTGTCCAGGACTTGCTTTCTGGATTCAACAGCTTATGCAGTCTTGCTTTTAAACATTCCTATATTCTATTGAATGCATATGTTAAATCATGTTACTCTAAAAACATTTTGGTAGTTAATTTTTTACAAGTACTATTTAGCTAAACATCTATATTCATATGTTTTTACGTACATGTATGTTTCTACAGAAGAGTCCTAAAAACAGAGCTGCCATGTGCATGTTCATTTTGCAGGTCTGCTTTTCAAAAAGCTACTACAATGTTCATTTCAATCAATAGTGTATGAAACTGAGTGACCTTATTTTGAAACTAGGAAAATTTAGCTAGTAAGATTTAGATACATAATTGATATAAAATGGTGCTGTATACAAAATGTATACAAAATGTTTCTGTATACATATACTAAAATTCAAACTCCTAAATATGATTACCATAGTTTATATTTATATTAACCCTATACTTCAAAATTCCTCAATTTGTATTTTGTAAAACCTGAAGAACATTTTCTAAATTTAACCCTTAAACTTACAATGGACTCATTTATAAACAGGCTAAGTGCTAGTAATATAGCGCAAAGTGACATAGCACAAAGCCCCATGGCAGCTACACTGCCCATGGCTCTGATGCCCCGTGTCTCCTAGTATTCTACCTTGGTACAGCCTCTCCTTCTCACTGAACCTGAGCTGGCATGGGACTCATTTCAACTGAAAGAATACTACAGAAGTCATGTTGGCCAGTATCAGAATTAGACCTTCAAAAGTTCTAGCAGCAGGGCTGGGGATTTAGGTCAGTGGTTTCCCTGCCTGCTGTGCAAGCGCAAGGACCCAAGTTCGATCCCAGGTACCAAAAAAAAGAAGAGTTCTGGCAGCTTCTGCTTTTGTGTTCTGGGAAGCTAGCCCATCCCATAAACCTATCTTGCTGGGAGTGAGGCTGTGTGGAAGAGGAGAGCCCTTTGATAGCACACAGGGAGAACCAAGGAGCCCAGTGAGAATGAGCTCCCGGGGAGTGACTCAAGGTGTGAGCCTCTGCAGCAGGCCCTAAGGCTTTTGAGCCATTTTAGTTCAGGCCTTTCATATGTGAGTGAAGAGTCCTAGCTAACATCGTGTGCAATACCACTGTGCCGTCCCTGTGTTCTCTGCCCAAATTACTGACCTCTAAAATTGTGAATAATAATAAAATAGTTTTTGGTTTTTGGTACCAGGGATCAAACTCAGGACCTTGTGCTTTCAAGGCAGGTGCCAGAACCACTGAGCTAAATCCCCAGCTTAAACAGTAGTTATTTTTAAGTCACAGAATTCTGTAGAGGCATATTTAATTACTACTAAATACTTACATATTTTTCCACATTGATATCCTAGAATATTTTTTAAAATTCTCAACCTTGAGAACATAGAATTGTTTACCTGACATACTCTTTTTTATTTTCTTCAGTAACAGGGATACTTTTGCCATTTGGTTTAAGTTCATGCTGGATAATTTCACCATATGCATTATGTTCAACACAGAAGGTATGGTCCAAAACACCTGTAATATCATTCTCACTAGATAGGAAACAGAGAAAAAACACATAACTGGGAAATCTAGAACACAGATCCAATAGGTGTATTAACTCGTGAGACAAAGCTGAGGTAGCTGATAATGACAAATGTCAGGTTAGACACCTCTTCCTAGTTTTCATGCTACCAATCCCACCCTCTTTTGGACAGAAAAGTCAAAGAGGTTGAACATAAACACAGGTTAATATTTTACTTCCCAAATGAGACAGAGCCACAATCAAAGCTAGACTTTGTTAGAACAACCTAGGAAGGTTTCAGCTATGACAGGGATTCAGACAACAGGCCCTACTGAACCTGATCATTAAGCAAATACTTGAGTATCCCCAATGAGAAAGCGACCTTTGTATTTTATAAAAATAAGTATGGTATTGCCAATATATCTTCCTAAACAAAATTGGTCATAATCTTAAATACTCACTTTTTTTTTTTTTTGTGGTACTGGGTACCGAACTCACGTCCTTGCACTTGCGAGGCAGGTGGTAGAACCACTGAGCTAAATCCCCGGCCCAAAAGAGCTTAAACTTTTTTTTTTGGTACCGGAAATCGAACTCAGGACCTTGCGCTTGTGAGGCAGGTGGCGGAACCACTGAGCTAAATCCCGATCCCAACAGTCACTTTAATTAAAAAAGGTGGGAAGGTGGTGCACACCTGTAATCCTAGCACTTGGGAGGCTGAGGCAGGAGGATCCCCGCAAGTTTGAGGCCAGCCTAAGCGACACATTGTGAGTTCAAGGCCAGCCTGAACTACACAGCAAGACCATGTCTCAAAAACAAACAAAAACAAAAAGCTATACTCAATAACTTTACGGAATTTTGGAATTTCAAATGTATAGGAGATCAGTAGAAAGGGGAAAAGTCTTATGTGGTCCTATCACTCACATAATCATACTCAGTATTTTCTGTGTATATTTTAAATTTTTAAGAGAAAATGCATCACTTTGAAACATTTTTTGTAAAGCTCATATTCTATCTACAGTATAATGAACAGATAAAAGAATCAATACATACAGTATCCACACCAAACTATTATGAAGGTCTGGATCAACTAACTCCATGTCATCCAAAGTAATTGACTTTCCAAGCAACTGTTTATAAAAAGGCAGTGTAAAACCACCATCAATGTAATGTCCATGAAACACAGCCATTCCCATTATTCGTCCAACAAAGTGGAAATACGACAAATGTTCCTGAAATTGAAAAAAAGTTTATATAAATACTCAAGTTAGAGACTATACAGGAAGTTTTTAATATAAAGTAAATACTTAAGCAACATCAAGCTTTTTTTAATAAATATCAAATTTTTACTCTACAACTATTTAAATGGAAGAAGTTACACATCCAAGCACAATAATCCTTAGGAAGTGTTTCTATGTAGTATGTTCAAGATTCTCTACATCACTATGAAATAACATGTTTGTGTTAATGCAGCCTCAAAGGGTAAAGGCACTCTGTAAAATTCATCTTTTAGGAAAGCCTCCAAATTACTGTCCCACTGTAGCTTCATTCAACCATGTCAGACCCCATTCTCTTCCTCTCTGCTCATCTCCTGTTGAGGCCCTTGACAGGGAAAAATGCTTTCAATCCTAAACATCCCTGCTTCCTTGACTTACTCAGAAATGGTACTTCAAACCACTATAGATTTAAGAGCACAGATTTGGTGTCAGACTTGGATTAGTCATGATTCTGTCATCACTGGCTTTGCGTATCTGGTAAAATTAATTAGTCTCTATAAGACTATTTATCTTTATCTGGTAATATGAAGGTAACAATGGTACCTAAAGAGTCTCTGAGGGGCCGGGGATTTAGCTTAGTGGCACCATGCCTGCCTTGCAAGCACAAGGTCCTGAGTTCAATCCCCGGTACCAAAATAAATAGTCCGTGAGAAGCACAGTGAGGTGGTGAAACCTTCAGCATAGGTCTGGAAGATGGGAACAAAGGTGAGCTGGTGGTGCCTACAGTGACAGTAGTGAGTTCACCAAGAACTTCACCTACAAATCATCCTTTAATCCAGAACTCCCTACAATGAATCATAACACTTCTATCATGTTTGGATATATTTGTTTTTCATCACACATTGTTTTGCTAGTTGGATATTTGTAATTTTAAATTCTTTCACTTCTATATTTAATAAGTAAGTTTTAAGCTCATTTTTATTTATTTATTTATTTTGGCTTTTTTGAGACAGGGGCTTGCTATACAGTTCAGGCCAGCCTCGAACTCACATAGTGAGTTCAATCCTCCTGCCTCAGCCTCCTGAATGCTGAGATTACAGGTGTGTGCCACCAGTCGGCGTTTAACCTCTCTTTGATCTTAAAAAGTTTTTCCTTCTTAAAAATAACATTTTCACCACAAAATATTTAGATAAAATATAGACCAAAAAAAAAAAACCCTTAAAAAGCACCCATTATCTAATATCCAGAGATAACCATTGTCAGTATCACAGTGTACAGCCTTTCAATGTTCACATTTATGGCCAGGTGTGATGGCACACACATGTAATATCAGCACTCAGGAGGCTGAGGCAGGAGGATCACTGTGAGTTTGAGGCCAGCCTAGGCTACACAATGAGTTCAAGGCCAACCTGAACTACATAGTGAGACCCTGTCTTTAAAAACAAAAACAAAAGGGGCTGGGGATTTAGCTCAGTGGTTCCAGTGCCTGCTGCGCAAGTGCAAGGACCCGAGTTTGATCCCTGGTACCAAAAAAAAACCAACAAAAAACGCCCCCAAAAATGTTCACACATGTATTTACCAAAGTTGTATCAGACTACTGCATATAGCCTTCTTTTACATTTAATATATCATGAACACCATCTTTAATCCACATTATCATGTTAGTGGCTGTGTAGTGCTCTTGTATGAAAAGATAACAGGTTTAATACAAACAAGTTAATAATAACTGCTAACTTTTTGTTAAGCGGTTACTAATGTATAAAAGGATCAATAAAGTATACCACTGTACTAAGTACTCAATGTACAGGGTCCCATTTAACTCTCACAACTCCTGAGACATGAACTATATTTAATATTATCAGCAATAAAAAATTGAGACTTAAGTCAATGAACTTGTCCAAGGACACAAAGCTAGTAAATAATGAGACTATATTATCCAATGTCTTTTTAATTAATTCCAGAATCTATGCTCTTAATTATATTATTGTCCTGTATCATAATTTAATCAATCCTCACTCTTGTGAACAACTATGTTGTTTTCAACTGAGGCTACTATAAATAACAAATATTTCTGTGCCCAAATTGTTGAATACATCCATAATCATTTACTTGAAAAAATTTTCCAGAAGAGGTATTAGAGTCAAAGGGTATGACTATGACAAGGGTAAGTAATTCTTATGTAATAATCTACATTGACATTTAAAGATGAAAAGCATTGCAGTCCCAATTTAATCCACATCATCGTAACTAGAAATCATACTGGATTAACAGCAGAATCAGGATTGATCTGTAATGTGTAGATATCATCTCTTGAGTACTGGAACAGGCCATAGTATGGATTCAACATCTCATGTGACAAGAGATACAACCACTCCCTACAAAACAAGACATGAAAAAGGAATTTTTTGTTAATCATTTTATTTTCTTTTTCTGGTGGTACTGTGTGTACTGAACATAGGGCCTTTGCACTGAGCTATATTCCAAGCCCATTTTTTTATTTAGAGACAAAGTCTCAATAAGTTGCCCACCCTGGGCTTGAACTTGCCAACCTCCTGGCCTCAGCCTTCCAGGGTCCTGGGAGAGTGCACCACCAGGCCTGGCCATCAATATACTTTTATTAAGATATGCCATTAATTCACTTTAGCAAATTTTTTGGTTTTTGGTACCGGGGATCAAACTCGGGTCCTTGCACTTGCAAGGCAAGCGGTGGAACCACTAAGCTAAATCCCCAGCCCTTAGTAAATAATTTTTAAAAATTAGTAAAAGGAAATAAAGCATTAACTGTAGTTGCCTAAGACCACACTGGTGGGGCCAGCTCAGTGGTGCTGCACCTGTCTGGCAAGCGCAAGGTACTGAGTTTGATGGGGGTGTGTGGGGGGGAGCCAGTGGCACACTGGAAAAATCTACCATACCTAAACAGTACATAAAAACTTGATTTATTACACTGAAATTGTTCATTCAATTTTGGGCAATTTATTACACTTCAGCATCAGATTATATATAAGTATTATCCATGAAATGTGATTGACAAGTAGGGTGAATGTTTAAACTTTAAAAACTTATTATAAGTTTGTCATAAGTGGCTTTTATCACATTGAAATAAGGTCCTATACCTATTTTGTTCAGTGTTTTTATCATGAAAGGATGTTGAATTCTGTCAAAGGCTTTTTCTGCATCTTTTGAGATGATCATATGATTTCTGACCTTGCTTCCGTTTACATGATATATTACATTTATTGATCTGTATATGTTGAACCATCCTTGCATCCCTGGGATGAAGCCTACTTGATTATATCATCTTTTTGATGATTTGTTGCGTTCTGTTTGCCAGTATCCTTTTGAGGATTTCTGTATGTTCACTAAAGGAACTGGTCTGTAATTCTCTTTTTTGACTGGATCCTTGTCTGGTTTTGGAATCAAGGGTAAACAACCGAATACTATGCTGCCATAAAGAAAGATAAACTTGAGTTATTTATAGGAAAATGTGTGCATCTTGGAACCACAGTGTTAAGTGAAATAAATCAGACATACAGATTAAATATTGCATTGTTTCTTTTATATGAGAAACTCAAAGTATTAAAGAACAGAATGGAAGAGTGATAATAGGAAGCAGGGAGACAGATTTTTTCTCAAAGTGGAAGGGATGAAGAGATGAAGGGAAGGGGATGAAAAAAGGAATTAAGATGTGGTATGTACATGTATCAACTCTACACAAGGAGTGTAATCATTATGCCTTCCAAACATACCAAAAAAGGGGAAAGGGATCAAGAGTGGAAGGAGGGGGGAAGGGAAAGGGGATGAAAAAAAAGAAAGCATATTATGTACATGTAACAAATTCCCACAGGGAATGTAAACATGATATACTACAAATACGTACTAATCATAAAAAATGTATTACAAACCAGGCATGGTGGTGCACGCCTGTAACCCCAGGACTCAGGAGGCTGGGGCAGGAGGATCACTGCGAGTTCAAGGCCAGCCTGAACTACACAGTGAGAGCTTGTCTCAATCAACATGTATTACAGTAAAGACACACTGTCATTAATCCCCCTCAAAATACTACTTCTTGCTTCAAACATATTTATTCCATCATTCGCAACACTTCCTAAGCAGTTCTGAAAGCCCTCTTTGTTTTTAATTGTGTTATTGTGGTTATCTTGATGCTCTCAATCAATTTAAAATGACATTTCACGGTCATTTTGACTTTGAGGAAGAGTCAGAAGTCACGTGGTAAGCAAGGCAGATGAGGACACAAGGTAGATGAGTAATGTATTTATGAGCCTGCCCACTGCATGGCACTCAGCAGCAGCAGTCACTGTATTCTTCTTAAAGTCACTCAAGAAAAAGGGACTTTTAGAACTGCTTCAGAAAGTGCCAAGAACCATGGAATAAGTGTGTTCAAAGCAACAGGAGTATTTTGAGAGGGATTAATGACAATATATGTTTTACTGTAATACATGTTTGAAAAATATAAACATCTACTGTGTATTTTTATCATACCTCATAGCAGTTCAGTTACTCACAAGATGCTGTAGCCCAGCAGTCTGTTACTTTAAATGCTAAATAAATTTGTAACCTATGATAAATATAAAATGAAGGGAAGCTGGGTGTGTGGTGCACATCTGTAATCCCAGCACTTAGAAGGCTGAGGCAGGAGGATCACTGTGAGTTCTAGGTCATCCTGAACTACACAGTGAGACACTGTCCCAAAAGAGAAGAATATGGTTTTATTTCAAAAGATTCACATCATCTATATTATCCTAGTTCACTCTCAACAGGATAGATTTATACTAGTTTATACAGATATATAATATAGCTTTATTTTGGACAAAGGAGTATTTTGTTGGTATTGGTTTAATATGAAAATTTCATTATCTATTTCATCATCTTCACTGAAAAAACCGTGAAACATACCACATTATGTCAGAGATTCTAAGGCATTTGGCACAGGTATGGAGACAAAGGTCAGCTTGCATTGTCTGGGTATGTTCCACATTACTTTTTTTTTTTGGTACTGGGGATCGAACACGGTTCCTTGCGCTTTCAAGGCAGGTGGCAGAACCACTGAGCTAAATCCCTGGCCCCCAAAGTACTTCTTGATTTCAAATGTACATCAATGTTTTATAAACCTTACAATAAACAGTATTACCATCACCAACTTATTAAATTATTTATATTTTTTCAAAATATAAGAGATAACCCATTAATCATCTTCATGAAAATGAAATATTAAACTAGTCTAGAACTTAGGAGATATAGATCTCAATTGTTGACATTTCTCAGGGAAAATTATTTAAATGTTTTGATATTATGGATTAAATAGCGTGATAATATATTATTAGCAAGGTAAAAAAAACAGGGCATTGAAAGCAGAGGAAAACAGTTCATTAAAAGTCTCAAGGCTGTTCCTGACAATGCAAAGCAGAGAAAATAACATCTGCTGAAGTAGGGAGATGGTAAAAAGGAAGGGCCTGAAAGTCCTACTAGCAGCCCATGGAGAGTTGGTTACAGCTAGATTTCAGAAACTTACTGGGTTATATAATCCATTAGGGAGCATTAAATAACTCTTCTGGTAGCAGGACTACCTTAACCTCATCCTGAATATATCTATTAGAATTTTCCCTGCACTGCAAATATTAGGAATTATTATACTAGAAAATAAATACCCATGAGAAACTCACACCATAGAAAGTCTTAAATGTATAAGTATAAAGACTTATGTCGGGCCGGGATTTAGCTCAGTGGTTTCGCCGCCTGCTGAGCAAGTGCAAGGACCCGAATTCGATTCCCCAGTACCAAAAAAAAAAAAGACATGTCATTAACTGACAAGTCTTTACCTAGCAACCCCTCCATAATCAAGGCCTTCTTCTCCACGAAATTTTATCATTAATCGCTTCCAGAGATCTTTTGGTCTCATTTTCATGACCTGTCGATATGACTCCTGAAAAAAAAATGTAAATATAGAGTATTATCGTTATAGGTTGTTTTAACCTATTATTTAAACTGTCCTTCCCATCCCACCCCTAAAATATAATTCAAATAAAATGAAACGTATTCAACAAATCAACAGATAAATTCCAGATACTTTAAAGTTTATGGAACTTATAAAAACTAAAGGAATTTAGTTTAACCCTACTTCAAGAAATTCACTTGTTGAATATATTAAAAGCCCATTAGATTTTTTTTTTAAAACCCTCCATATTTTAGTTCTGTGAACCACAGTAATGGTTCTACCCATATTAAAAACAGAATTTGGGGGCCAGGGATTTAGCTCAGTGGTTTCATCGCCTGCCTTGCAAGCACAAGGTCCCGAGTTCGATCCCTGGTACAAAAAAAAAGAATTTGGTAGAAGTAGCAAATTCCTAAAAGTTGGTTGACCTAATTTTAGGTCATAGGCATCGGTAAAAAATAAATGTAAGAAAAACAAAGTTCAAAAAAATATAAGTAATCATTAATGTGATCTTCATTACACAGACAATTTTTTATTATTTTAAAACATAAATGATTGTCTTTTTTTTTCCCACATTCTCCTGCCATGGCCTGCTGACCAAGCTCATAGCAATGGGCCAATCCTAGTGACAAACACATTCCCACTGCCCACTGGCCCCAACTACCAGCTCTCACCCATTCATTCATTTAATTTACATATTTATGTGTGTGTGTATGTGTGTGTGTATATATATATATATATATACATACGTGTATTCATTTATTTATCTATGTTTTAGTAGGGCCACCGAAGGAACCCACCACCCCATATATCACCCACCACCCCATATATATATCAGGCAAGCACTGGTCCTCTGGGCTCCATCTATAGCCCATCTCATGTCCAAGGAAGCACTGAAAATTCCTAGTGTTGTTTCTTTGAGTGGCTGTGGGCAAAGCAGACATCTTGGGTGGGAGCACTGGTACAGAAAGATACATCACCCTTCAGGGATCGAGCAAGTGAAAGTATAAGTGCCTGAGGCACAGATTCCTGGCACCAGTTTGTGAGCCAGACACTCAGCTGGGCCCTGGCTGCTGAAGTTCCTTCGGTCACCTTGGCCATGGTGCAGCAGGTGCTCCTACTGGAGCCCAAGGTGGCTTCACCCCACTGCTTGCTTTCTTTGAGCTCTTCTCCAAACCCAGCCACCACTGTCACTCCTATCCCCACTGCTGCCTCTGATTAGCTCCCAGTTCTGGCCCCCTAATAGTCCCCTTGGCCACTGCCACCTTTATCAAATGATTGACTATCAACAAGGTCAGAACTACTCTGAAAGAAAAAAGTTTATTCTTTAGGAAAAGGATTATCAGATCCCCAGACATCTTGTCCAGGAATTCTCTAATGAGTAAGAAAGCCCCATCTTTGATCTCTGTCACTTATTATACAAGAATTTTGAAGCTGATATTAGGTTTTTATCTTTTATCCAAAGATAAAAATATATGCCAGAAATATTTTCAACAAATTAAGGAAGTAGTCCAATAGTAATCACAGAAAATAATTTTTCTATGTAAGAGTCCCTTACCTGGTGAGCTAAGTTACAGCTCTCCTTTCAGAAAAATAAAAAAGTCTTACACCTTTCAGAAGAGTTAGAAAGTAAGGCCTTCACTAACAAGTACTTGCAGTCCAGAGACTACACCAAACCAATCAGGACATTTAGCACTCTTCATCCCATTTAAGTGATTATTATACATATTAAGTCTTTCCAATATCACAGCTTATTCCCCACAATCAAAATAGAAATTAATGGGAAGCTTCCACCTAAAGAAATATGAGTCTCGAAAAAATACTCTTGGAAAAAAGAGAATAAAACATTAAATTTAATTTTCCTCTATTTTAAAATAAGACTTGGAAGTTTACCTCAAAAATCTCTTCCCTGGAAACCTCAATGCGGCAGTGGCCAGCCTGAGGCTGTTGCTGGGAAAGTTCTTGGCGCAAGATTTTTAGTTTCTGAACCAGGTCTCGCTTGTATCTTGGTACTGTCAGGCACTCTGTATCATCCGGGCATAATGACACCACTTGCTGTTGCTGTTGGTCTTTCAACTGGTTCTGCCGACTGGCAGTAAACAAAAAAGTTATTAGGGCCAGGGATTTAGCTCAGTGGTTTCACTGCCTGCTGCGCAAGCACAAGGACCCGAGTTCAATCCCCGGTACCAAAAAAAAAAAAAGGAAACAAAAAAGTTATTAGGAAAGTATTTTAAACACAAAAGAGTGCAATCACACATTTAAAATAGCATCAGACTGTAAACTAAGTCTAGCTATATCATTTTCCAAGCCTAATTATGACATATGGTTAGTCTGACATATTTTGGCAACAAGCTATCTTTACAATTTATTTTTCCAGTGTCTATATGAATTGATAGAATTGGATAATGGAGGGGGTTTTTTTCCTTTCTTTCTGTGGTACTTGGGGTTGAACCCAGGAGTTTGCGCACGGAAGACAACCACTCTACCACTGTATTATATCACCAGCACTGGATAAAGCTTCATACAGCTGCAGAGAACAAATTTTTCAAATACCATTTCCGTTTTCCTCTATATCATTCCATCATCCATTTTAAAATTTAGGGATATGCCAAACACTGCATGTTTTCTAGAGTTAGTCTTGCTGGAAGAGCCAAACAGGAACACAAACTGCCAGTGTGGCAGAGCCCCTTCCTCCTCTACCTACTATAGTCAAGATCACAAGAATGGAGGGAGATCATATGTAAGTTACTGGCACAGAGAAACAAGTATTTTACAACATGTTTAAGTGGCTACTCTGTGTGTCTGTGTGTGTGTGTGTGTGTGTATGTGTGTGTGTGTGTGTGTGTGTGTTAAAATAAAATTTAATATTTTAACCAGTTTTAAGTGTACACTTCAGTGGCACTGAGTACATTCACTGTTGTGGTAATGCGACTTTTTTTTTTTTTTTTGGTACCAGGGATTGAACTCAGGACCTTGTGCTTGCGAGGCAGGCACCGGAACCACTGAGCTAAAATCCCTGGCCCTGGTAATGTGACTTTTAAATGCAAATACACGGTTTTCCACAAAATGAAAATAATCTTCAAGGACATCATAAATATAATAATAATTTTAAAGGGCACTTGTCAAAGATATATTTTTATTTTCCTGGCATAAAATGTCATAAATCACATCTAAGGTTCTTTTTTAAGAACTCTATGATATAATGATGTAGTTAATTCTAATAAGCTATCAGGAAATAAAATAATAGATGATTTATTAGTGATGTCTGTATAGTCACTGTGTCAAAGTTGAAATTTAAAATTAATTTTACAAACAGACAAGACAACTGAAACCTAAAGATAAAGGACAATGGGGCCGGGGATTTAGCTCAGTGGGGCCGCTGCCTGCCTCGCAACTGCAAGGTCCTGAGTTCAATCCCCGGTACCAAAAAAAAAAAAAAGATAAAGGACAATGATAGCTATGATAAAATACATGAAAATAGCTTTCATTTCTCTAAACAGAGCACCCAAATTTGAATTACACATAGTGATCCTTACGTACTAACCCAAAATATATATCTAAAATACATCCTGATACATGCTATGGCATGGATGAATCTTGACTTTTTTTTTTCTTTGGTACTGGGGATCGAACTCCGGTCCTTGAGATTGTGCAGCAGGCAGCAAAACCACTGAGCTAAATCCCCGGCCCTATCTAAAATATATCTACAGAGAGAAAATACAACATTTTTGTAAAAGTTAATATTAACTACTCTTCCAAACATTATGAAATAAAATATTATGTAAATTAGTCTATAAATAATTATATAATCAGTTTTTTAAAATGAACTTAGGGGACTGGGGACATGTGTGAATCTCTGGGTTCAATCCCAAACAATACCAAAAAAAAAGAAAAGCACATGTGAATATATTTTGCAGCAGACAGAAAAATTAACTCAAGCTGGGAGTTGTGGTGCACACCTGTAACTCCAGATACTTGGGAGGCTGAGGCAAGAGAATTACAAGTTAAAGGCCAGCATAAGCAACTCAAAGGGCTGGGGATATAGCTGATGGTAGAACACATGTCTGGCACGTTCAAGACCCTGGGTTTAATCACCAGTACGGGGGGAGGGGAGGCTCAAAATGGATCACAGATTGCAATATAAAACCTAAAATAGTGGTGGCAAACTCATGGCACATGTGCCACAACAGGCGGTATCACTGAAAGCTCTAAAAGGTTTGCTGTCACTAACCTAAAACCATGTGACTTCTAAACAGAGAAAAGTATTTTTATGACCTATGTTAGGCAATGATGTCTTACATACAACAATAAAAGCACAATCCATGAAAGAAGAAATAGATGAATTAAACTTATCAAAAATTTTTTTTAATTTCTGCTTTTCAAAAGACAGAAGAAAATTAAGAGAAGTCATAGAGAAAACCTTTGGAAAATATATATCTGCTATGTCTCAATATCTGAGCAACTCTCAAGCTCAACAAGAAAAAGCTGAATAGCTCTGAAGACAGGGGAGTACAATGATTACACCAAAGAAGACATAGGAAAGGCAAATAAAAACACGAAAGACGCCCAGCATTATTAGTTATTACAGAACCATACATTAAAACCAGAATGAGATATCACTGTATACCTATTAGTATACCTTTTAGACATAAAATTAATAAGGTTAGCCATACCAAGTGTTAGCAAGGATATCCACCAACTACTTGTGGGACCATACAATGATACAACCACTTTTAAAGGCAATCTGGCATATTCTTTAATTAATTAATTAATTAATTTCCAGTATTGGGGATCGAACTCAGGACTTTGTACCTCCCAGGCAGGCGTGGCGTGGCACATTCTTTAAAAGTCATACATAAAGCGCAAGGACCCAAGTTCGATCCCTGGTACCAAAAAAAAAAAGCAAAAGTCATACATAAATCTACATATAGATTCAGCCATTCTACTCTTAGGTAATTATTTACTGAAGAGATACAACAGTATATGACCATACAAAGCCTTATATATAAATGTTTTTAAGAGTTATCTGTCACAGCCAAGTACTGGAAAAAAAAGAAAACCAAATGTCCATCAATAGGTAAATGGATAAATTGCAGTACATCCATACAATGTAATACCACCAGCAACAAAAACTATACATGAACCAACAAAGACAAATTTCAAAATTATATTGGCTAACAGAAACCAAACAAAAAAGAAAACAAACTACATGATCTCATTTATCTAAAATTCAAGAAAATTCAAAATAATACATAGTGATGGAAAATAGCTTAGTGGTTGAGTGAGGATGGGGTGTTTAGAGGAAACTTGTGTCCCCTAAAAGATGTCGAAGTCCTAATCCTTAGAATCTATGGGTGGAACTTTGGTTGTAGATTTAATTAAGTTAAGATGAAGTCATACTGCATTGGGAGGGCCGGGGATTTCAGTGGTTCTGTCAACTGCCTTGCAAGAGCAAGGTCCCGAGTTCGATCCCCAGTACCAAAAACAAAACAAACAAACATACCGCATTGGGATGCCTCAATAAATCCAATAGCTGGTGTCCCTCGAAAAGAAGAGAAATTTGGATACAGACATGGTGTCACAAGTTCATAATCCCAGCACGCTAGCAGTCAGAGGTAAAAGGATTGCTAGTTTGAGCCTAGCTTAGACAAGTTAACAGGATGCTTTCTCAAAATAATAAAAGGGCTGAGGATGTAGCTCAGTGCAAAGGCCCTGGGTTTAATTTCCAGTATGGGGGGGGGAGAAAAAGAAAAGAAAAAGGATGACTATGAGATGAGAGAAGAAAAAGACTGGAGTGACAGTCAGTAAGCCAAGGACCATCACCAGAATAGGCTAGGAGAAACCACCAGAAGCTCAAAGAAGGGCATGAACAAATTCTCCCTCAGTTACTCCAGAAGGAACCAACCCAACCCAGCTGACTGCCTCAGTCTGGATTTGTAGCCTCCAGAACTGGGAGAGAATGAATTTCTGTTGTCATTCCCATTTGTGCTATTCTATTTCAGCACTCCTGGAAAATTAATGTCCCCCAAGAGTCTCATGTTCAGAAATGGGGCTTTTGAAAGATGACTGGATAATAAAGGGCCTATCTTCATCAGCAGATTAGTCCACTGATGAGTTCAGAGCCGACTGTGTTGTGCGGAGGTGGGTCCTGGTTGGAAGAGGTGGCCAAGGGAGGACACAACCTGGAAGGGTATACGGTATTCTTGTTGCTGGCTCCTTCCCTTCTCTGCTTCCTGGCTGCCATAAGATGAGCAGTGGTTCTCTGCCAGGCTCTTCTCCTATGCCGTTTCCGCTTTGCAGCCAGAATATGGACTGAATGCATTGAAAACTGTGAGCCAAATAAGTTCCTTCTCCTTTAAGTTCCAAGTCCCAGGTATTTTGTGTCAGCAACAGGAAAGTGAGTGCACAGCAAAGGATAGGAGGAGAAATTACAAAGGAGGATGAGGAATCTTTTAGGGTAACAATAGGTATGTTCATTTTCATCACTGTGGTGATAGTTTCTTGGGTTTATAATATGCAAAAATTAAACTGTATACTCTTAATATTTATAATTTATTGTATATCAATTATTTTCAGTAAAGCTGACTTTTTAAAAATCCAGGGGACATCTGGCTCATTCACAAAACCTTGTATGAAAGACTGTGTAAGACCTGCAAATGGATGCTGAGTGTGGTGACATACACTTATAATCCCAGCATGTGGGAGGCTGAGGCTGAAGGATCATCATGAGTTCAAGGCCAGCCTCAGCTACACAGTGAGTTCAAGACCAGCCTAACTACATAGCAAGACCCTGTCGCAAAAACAACCCCCAAAAACAAAACAAAAAAACCCTGCAAATGGATAAGGCTTAAAGCTGAAGGACAGGTCACTGTGCACTGTTCTCTCTTCCATGGTGGCTTGCTGCCCTCATGCTGTAGAGTATACTTTTTCTACTTTCACTTGGCCCAAACTCACTCTGCAGAGCCTGTTTCTTTTCTTACCTTTAATAAAACTTTGCTACTATTAAAAAAAAAAAGCTGAAGAATAAAACTGAAGCAGTAAAAATCCAGAATTCAGCCATTCTATAATTTCTGACGCACACGAGAAGAAAAATCCATCTACCCAATAAAACAGCCTATCTCTTCAGTTATAGTTTGGAACAGGGGCAGTTATGTAAGAGCTCAATGTCAGCACTGGCCATGAAACAGTGAGGGTACCGATCTGTTCTTCTTTAAGGACTCTGATGATGTCCAGAGTCTTATAAAGCAATCAAATGATTTCCTCAAAATAAATGATCCTGGCAAGTAGAGAAAAGACTCAAATTGCAAAGCACGTGCCCATTGTCATCTTTTATTTTTTTTAAGCTTCCTTTAAGGGTATAAGGCAGAACATCTTCAGGCAAAAGAAGGGAAATTAAGGTTAAAAGGATATAAACAAGAAAAGAGAGATTAAAAAAAGACTTTCTACAGTCAGACTGGATGGATTCAAATCTCAGCTCTTCCACTTTTTATGTACCTCTGGACAAATTACCTGACTGTCTAATGCTCCACTTTTCTCACTGGTGAAAGCGAGACAGCCTAGGATTGAAATGCAGGTGACAACAGATAGCATTTAACCCGAACTCAGTGCATGATAAGCAGAGTATATAATTATTTTAACTTCTACTAATAGAGTTATTGGATTTTTAAAAAAATCTATATAATGGGGCCAGGGATTTAGCTCAGTGGTTTCGCTGCCTGCTGTGCAAGCGCAAGGACCCAAGTTTGATCCCCAGTACCAAAAAAAACACAAAACAAAACAAAAACCTATATAGTATGTTTTTCAAGCAACTGAAACAAAAAACAAAATACAAATTATTTCTTAAGAGAACCCGTCCCCCTGGCCATATTATTTGTTGAAACCTAATGTGGTTTTGCAGTAATTTGACATTGTGCCTGTCACTGACAAACTATCTGTTCAGGCCTCAAAGGAACAGCACAATCTTCAGGTCATCAAAAATAAGCCTCTGTGGGCCGGGGATTTAGCTCAGTAGTTTCACCGCCTGCTGCACAAACACAAGGACCCAAGTTCGATCCCCGGTACCAAAAAATAATAATAATAATAATAAGCCTCTGAGAAGAATATCAACAACATTGCAAGAGGTATTTGGTTGGTTGCTAAGAAAGGTTAAAGTATCTGTATAAGAAAATATTTAAATCAAGTTGGATGTCCTTATTTACATTTTTTAGATATAACAGGCCTAGTATATATTTCTCTAAGAGATAATTAATTCTCTTATTACTTCCTCTCAAATATTAATTCCTGGGCTGGGAACATAGCTCAAAGGGAGAATGTTTGCCTAACATGTCCAGGGCCCTAGGTCCAATCCCCAGTAGTGAAGAAACAAGAAAAAATTAATTACCAGTTCTTCTTAAGTACGAGATTCCTCTCTAAAATATAATGTGCCCTATCAGATTGTTTTTCTTACTTTGCTGAGCACCCTCTATATGAGACTGTAAATCTCATTTTCTCATTTCCTAAATGCTGAAACACGAATAAACTAAAAGGCAAAGTAATCTAATTTATGAAGTTTTTAATAACATAATCCACATATCATAGCTTCCTAAAATTTAGACTAAGGGCTAAACTAATTTCTTCAATTCATAGTTGGCCTGATAATAACAGTTGTATTCCACTAACTATTTTGAAAAAAAAAATCCACAGAGGAAAAAAAATACAATACAAACTATATTAGATAAGGTAACAATATATTTGGATAGCTCACAGATATAGATTTCAAACTTCTTGAACACCCAATTAAAATACACTCCAAGCTTTAAATCAACAGAAATAAAACATTAAGAGAAATAGTTTTCTATCCAACATATCCTGAGATATGTAAAGATTAATATATCAACAGTTAAAATTTAAAATTAGTGCCTATGAATATGTTTCAAAATTGTAATTTGAGGTTAAAATTTTTTTTTATGCTTCGATGTAATAAATTCACTTTCACATATAAATTAGGTTTGATCTTAATAAAAACTACTCCTAAAAAAAAACCCTACTCCTTTATCACTTTAACTTTTGATAGAAACCTTAATGCTGTGAATAATTTTTACTTATCTTGCCTTATATAACATGAATAGTAAACCTTTGGGAAGATTTATCAGGCTAGAGACTTTACTAAGGATGCTGACAGTAGAAGTTCTGAAATCTTGTCCTTTAAAGAAACAAAAGGGGGCTGGGGATTTAGTTCAGTGGCACCACATCTGCCTCACAAGCGCAAGGTCCTGAGTTCGATCCCCAGTACCAAAAACAAACAAACTACCCCAAATGTACAAATTCTCAAGCTTTTCACAGCATAATAATTTACAATTCAAAGATATTGAGGAGAGGTACAAACTAATACTTCAATATTAAAATACATTTTCAAATGAAAACTTTCTATAGGAATGTCCATAAAATTTGGAGCTAAGGGACATACTGCCCATATTAATATAAACCAATAAACAACTGAAAAATAATCATCAGAAGAGCAGTGTAGTGTTCCTCAAATTCTGACATTTACTCCAACAAACAGAAAAGGTAAGAACATTTCTATTCATTCCATCTGTAGTTACTCTTTTGGAACATTAACTTTTTTTTTTGGTACCGGGGATCAAACTCAGGACCTTGCTCTTTCGAGGCAGGAGATGGCACCACTGACCTAAATCCCCGGCCCTGGTACATTAACTTTCATTCAGTTATTTAGTTCCACTAACTACTTAGTGAACTGTTCTACTTAAGTGTTCCACTGAAAATATCAAGCCAAACTTCTAATATTTAAAGAAATGATCTTGAAGGCAGAAGATAAATAATATACAATCACTTCTTAGAACTTTACTTGGCCTCTAAAAGCCACTCTGGCTCATTACATTAGATGTACTTCACTTTTGAGTACAACTGAGAACAGCAGAGCAGGTAATACCATTTACTGGCAAATGCTAGAATGAGTTATTTTGGAGTCACACAGAACCTTGCTTTTTTTTTTTTTTGGTGTGATGCAGGTGTCAAGCTCATAGCCTTGACCAATTCTAGGCAAGTCTTCTGCCACCAAGCTCCAATACCAGCCCTTGCTTTCCAGATTCCAACACCAAGAACCTTGTTGCTATCTCACTGTTAAAATGTTTTTGCCAGAACTGTTGTGCCAAACTGCCACTTTGCTTGGTAATAAAGTTTCCTTTCTCTCTTTTCCTTCTTTCTTCCCTTCCTAATAGCCAATGCCAGTAACTAATGAAGTTAGGAGGGAAAAACAGGCATCTAGAGAGGAAAGAAAAGGAAAGGATGAAAATAATATACAAACAATGCTCAGTGTAGTGGCCAACAGCAGACAAAATCCACGGAGTCTGGGTATGAATCAAGATGTGGTTGGGTCGGGGATTTAGCTCAGTGGTTTCCCTGCCTGCTGCGCAAGTGCAAGCGGACCTAAATTCGATCCCCGGTACCAAAAAAAAAAAAAAAAAAAAAAAGATGTGGTCACTTACTGGCCTACCGAAAGTCAACTTCTATACAGTTTCCTTCTCTATAAAATAATAACTATACAGTAACTACATCACAGTAGGGTCTTTTTTTGTTTTTTTTAGTACCGGGGATTGAACTCAGGACCTTGCACTTTTGAGACAGGCGGCAGCGGTACCACTGAGCTAAATCACCGGTCCCATCATAGTGTTTTTCTGAGGATGAAATTGCTGATATATATAAGATACAGAGAACACTTGTCATACAATAAGTGCTACTCAAATATCAGCCACTAATAGGAATGGCTGTAATGGCAGCACCAAATTAGCCTTAACTTCTCCTGTCAAGCTATTGCCCCTGAAAAAGCCCCTCATGTTTGATACATATCATATTCCTAACATAATAATACATATCATTTTCCTAACATTTCAAGACTGGTTCCTACTCAAGCACAGAATTAAAATACTCATGTCAGAGTAAAATTTGCCATAGCTTTTACAAAAAATTTGATCAATAAAAGTGAATTATAAGTTGAAGTGAGCAGATATTCTTTCACATTTACTACAAAAGGCATCTATCAAATTTCCTCTTGTTCAGACTTGTTTTAACATGTACTGTTTTTAAAACTTACTTTAAAACTAAATGCAAGTTAGCAGAGAGCCGAGGATCTGTAAATTGTGTTGTTCTGTTGTTATGGTCAACGAAATAAACTCTGCCTGTTGCTGTATTGCGGATCTCCCATCCAGGAGGCAAAGGACCAAGCTCTTCACAATTGATGTTGCTAAGATCCCTGCAAAAACAAATATAAAATAAAAAATACCTCACTGCTGGGCCTGCTGAGCCAAGCAAGTGTAAATGATACAGAACAATTCCATGAAGATTGAGAAAATGTACTGTTTCAGACACTTGAAATGTTTAGCTGGAATCTTTAATTCCCAATGGTTTAAAAAACTTGCAAATTCAAAACCCAATCCATAAATGGCTCAGAAGAATTTATCACTATAGCCTACATTTTTAGTAAGTTTGTTCCTAGGTTTTAATGTAATACAGATTTTAAATTAATAGAAAAGCAATCATGATATTTGCCAACATAAACCATACTTCAATATGTTTGACAGAAAATATTATGTTACAAGTATTAGTGGTATAAGGAATTAAATGTTTTCTTTCTTTTTTTTTTTTTGGTACCAGGAATTGAACTTGGGTCCTTGCACTTGTGCAGCAGGCGGCGAAATCACTGAGCTAAATCCCCGGCCCCTAGGGAATTAAATGTTTTCTAAAATTATCCTACAACTATTTTTCTTTACTACATCATAAAAATCTGTGTAAATAAATGTCCATTCCATGAGTAATTTTAAGCTTTCTAAAAAGCAAAATTAGAAATGTTATTGAAATTATGATCCTAAAAATAATCACATTTTTTTTTGGTACCGGGGATCAAACTCGAGACCTTGCGCTTGCGATGCAGGTGGCGGAACCACTGAGCTAAACCCCCGGCCCAATCACAACATATTTTTAAAGAATAACTTCATTTTGAATTTTCAAATGTGTAAAGTTAGTAAATGAAAAATCTGTTTAAGGCACTTAAGGAAGGCTAGGCTTAGTGCACACCTGTCATCACTATGGGAGGTGATGCAGGAAAATTCCAAATTCAAGCCCACTCTGGACAGCTTACAAGACCTTATCCCCAAAAAAAGAAAAAAAGAAAAAAAAACAAAAACCAACCACCAAAAACCTAAGGAAGAAGGAATGCTCTATGATTTATTTGCTGAAATTTTTTAAAAATTAATGAACCAAAGACCATTGTTATCATGTTACAAATGAAGTACTATTATATATAGACAAGAATTTATAAGACCTTAAAGAAAGAGACAAGAAGCTGCCAAGCTGTTGAGCACACTTATGTACTGGGGAGAGGGGGCAAAGTGAGTATGGAAGCTTGCCCCAGTCCCTGCCCCATACCCTGCCCAAGGTATTGCTTCCTTTTGATTGTTCATTAATCACCAATAAGATTGCAAATTTTTATTCTCAACACTGTTAGAACAAAATATTCCAAAGTGAAGATTCCAAAGTGTTCAAATTGCTGCCATCATCTACTAGGACAGTTAAGTGCCTTCAGTGACCCCCACTGAGCCTATATATAATGATAAAATACATTCAGGTCATTTCCAGCCCTAAATGAATTCTTCACACTTCTGAGACCAACTGTAAACTGAGGAAATGACACTCTATGAAACTGACCAAGCAAACCAACCATCTAGACAATAAAACTGTTGCCTTTTATAATCCCCTTTTTATTCAAGAGGCTTCCAAAGAGAAAGACGAGGAGGAAGAAGGCTAGCCAATTTCTCAAAATAGTGTTTTAAAAGCTAAACCAGACATTTTTCTTAACCTTTTCTTAGAAGTCACAATGAAAAGAAGAAGTGGATGAGGAGAAGGAAGAACAAACAAAACAGCTGGAGTGGCAAGTAGGGAGAAGGTCAGCCCGGCAGCAAGGTTAGAAACCTTGAACTTTCTTTGGAAAGAAAATCCAGGACTTCCTCACTAAGCTAAGAACTCATTGGGAGGGATGAAATGATTCCTGGAAAACTTCCTAAATTCCCATTTTAGGTCCAGAAAATCCCAACTAATCAAGATCAAATAATAAACCAAAAAAAAACCCCCAAAAAACCCACAATCTAAGATCACCAAACTCTTCAGAAAGGAAAGCCACTATGACAGTCAGTGAAACAATAAGCCACAGAATAAAATTCTCAAATACTGTTAGGGACCAAAAAACGAGAACAGCTATGATATGTAATATTTAAAAATATAAAAAGGTACAATCACAAAGATAAACTATCAATGAAAGATTAAAAGATTAATGAAAGATTAAACAGGTAGATTTTCTTACATTTGATCTTAGCCAAAAGGCCAAGAAGTGATGGGTAGATTTTCTTAAATGGAACTTTTAGAAGTAAAAAATAATGATTGAAATCAAAGAATGAATAATTTGCCAGGTGTGATGCCTCACGCCTGAAATTCCAGAACTCAAGGGGTTGAGGCAGGAGGATCACTGTGAGTTTGAAGCCAGTCTGAGCTACTTAGTGAAGTTAAGGCTAGCCTGAACTATATAGTAAAACCCTGTCTAAAAAAAAAGAATAATTATTGATAGAATGCTGAATTTGATTTTATATTGTTTTATTTCAAATTTTATAAATCTATGACCATACATAGGGGAGCTCCAAAGGACTTAAAAGAGCAAAACACTGGAAATAATTTTTATGTCCAATTGGGAACTGATTAAAGAAAAATGGGTTGTTATAAAGCCATAAAAAGTTATGCAAATCTCTATTCCAAGACTACAGTCAGTATGCAATAGAATAAATTAAAAAGTATTATTATTTTAAACAAAAATCCAAACTATCATGAAATGAGATTTCTCAGATAAATCTAAACATACTGGATATCTTTAAAGTTATTGTAAAATGTTTCATTTACACTATTTTATAAATGTCTTTAAACAGTTATATATTTTAATAGAATCTAAATAGTTGTATTATTCTTTGATAAAAGATCCTCCACACAAAAGGAATATTTGCTAAAGGATGCTCCAACATAAAAGATAAATATATAAATTTATACGACAATTTGGGGCTCAGAAAGACTAAGAAAAGCAATACAGAATATTATTTCATAGAGTAATTCAAAATAGGCATCAATACTTGTCGTGGCTTGTACCTAAATGTCCCCCTAAAGCCTCATGTGATCATGGGTAGGGCTTTTGGAGGTGGCTGGGTCTAGGGTGTGTGGTGCTGGGATCAAAGATGTGAGGCTGGAATTGATTTACAGTGCGATGCTAGGATAAAGGGTGTAAGTGTTACCTTCCCAGCCTGAATAAGATATAAGGGATAGAAAGAGCTGATGTGATTTTTGCTTATCACTGGTTCCTTGTAGCTCACTTGTTTGCTGCTTTCTGTCTGCCCTGCTCTGCCTTGGACTGTTTCTCCTCTGTGATGTCCCTTTGCCATGCCACCCTGCCTGGAGCCAGCCAACTATGAACTGAAACCTCTACAAACTGTGAAATGAATTAAATCTTTCCTCCTTTAACTTTGGGTGTCAGGTGTTTTGTTTCAGCAATGAGAAAAGTAACTAAGACAATACTCTTTTTTTTTGATAGTGGTGGTGGTTTTCAAGGAATGAAACCCAGGAATGCTCTACCACAGAGCTATACCCTAGCTCTTTTAAAAAATTTTTTCTTTAATTTTGAGACAGGGTCTCACTAAGTTGCCAGGCTGGCCTCAAATTTGTAATCCTTCTGCCTCAACTTCCCAAGTAGCTGGGATTGCAGGCATGCACCACCACATCCAGCTTCAACACAAAACATTTTTACACCTTTAATAGAAACCCATAAAATCGGGCCGGGGATTTAGCTCAGTGGTTCCGCCACCTGCCTCGCAAGCGCAAGGACCCAAGTTCGATCCCTGGTACCAAAAAACAAAACCAAAACAAAACAAAAAAGAAACCCGTGAAATCATCTCAACTTTTGTTGCCAGCTTACAATCTGTTCTTTTAACAGTTAATGTCGAATGATGGACTGAAACGTCTATAAACTGAGAGCTAAAATAAACCTTTCTTCCTTAAAAAAAAAAGTTAATGTCAACTTTTTCACTACTGCAAATCATTTAGTCTTTAAAAATTATCTTTCTCTATACATTTCCTGTTATAAGACTTGAAATCTTTTTTTTTTGGTACTGAGGATCAAACTCGGGACCTTGTACTTGCAAGGCAAGCAGCAGAACCACTGAGCTAAGTCCCCAGCCCAAGACTTGAAATCATTTTTAAAGAAGAGGGTTTTTTTTAATCTTCAATTTGGTAAACAGAATCTAAAACACTTCTTTTTTGGGGGGCTACCGGGGATCAAACTTGGGACCTTGCACTTGTGAGGCAGGCGGCAGAACCACTGAGCTAAATCCCCAGCCCTTAAAAAACTTCTTTTCATAACTTAACAAAATTGATCTCTAAAAGTTAGGCCCTCAGATCTTTTTGAGTGAGCTTAATAAATATAAAATTCCCTCTTGACTACTCCTTAAAAACTAGTATCTTTCACTGTTCAAGATAGAAACAACAATCTTCACTCAGTTATTAGTAACAACACGTTTCTTTGGTACCACCTTCAAAAGATTCTAAAAATCTCTACAACAAAATAAAATATTTTCACTATAACAGTTTTTCTAACAAATGAATAGAGTATCAAAGCAACCCAAGATCAGTTAGTCATATCTGTTTTGGATTCAGTTATACTTCCTAACATTTAGGAAGAAAACATCTTGATTCTCCATCAGTTTTTTTTTTAATTGAAGTGTGGTGTTTGATATATAAAATATCCTCATTCAACAAAGATACATGTGCATGCAAAAAGCTGATTTAAAATTTAACTTAGAATTCAAGCCTTTTTGTAGCTTCATCTATACCACTTGGTAGTCTGCATCTTATTCATTAGAAAATAACTCAAAGAAGCTAAGAAATATTTGAAAAACTCCTCTGATACTGTATCAAAAATTATGTTAAATTATTAAATTGATTTGTGTGCCATTCCATCTTGAAATTAAAAGATAACTACCCTTTTGGTTAGTAAATACAATACCTATAGTTCAAATGTATAGGGCTGTTTTGTTTTGTTTTCTGAGACAGGGTTTTGTCATGGAGTTCAGGCCAGCCTGAACTCACTATGTAGCCTAGGATGTCCTCAAACTTACAGTGATCCTCCTGACTCAGCCTATCGAGTGTTGATATTATAGGCATGTGCCACCACACCCAGCAAGTTCTGATAATTAAATGAAATTGAATTAAACTGACCTCAGTTGTTTTCTTTCCTACAAGAAAACTGTATTAAGAAACATATAATAAAACAAAACAAAACAAAAACAACAACAACAAAAAAAGGAACACATAAGGGGTCCAGGGATTTAGCTCAGCGATTTTGCCTCCTGCTGAGCAAGCGCAAGGACCCAAGTTCGATCCCGGTACAAAAAAAAAAAAAAAGAATATCAATCTTCCCATACCACCCCACCTCCTTTTTTTGAGACAAGGTTTTACTATGTAGTTCAGCCTAGCCTTAAACTCACTGATATGGAGCCCAGGCTGGCCTTGAACTTGCAGGGATTCTTCTGCCTCAGCCTACCGAGTGCTGGGATTACAGGTGTGCACCACTATGCCCAGCCAATCTCACTTTTTAAAGGGTATGTTTTCCCCAGTTTAATTTCAAACTCTGAAAAACACACTTTTTTTGGTACCGGAAATCAAACTCAGGACCTTACCCTTGCCAGGCAGGCGTGGCCCCACTGAGCTAAATCCCTGGCTCTAAACACACATTTTTTAAAAAGGGGTAGGAGGCTGGATACCAGTGAGGGTAGAAGGGATTGGGATGTGAGGTGGCACTGCAGAGAAGTAGGTAAGACTCTACTAAATCTTAAAATGAAATTTCAATCAGAAAGAGCCTTTCAAAAATATTCCAACAGGGCTGGGGATTTAGCTCAGGGGTGCTGCCGCCTACCTCGAAAATGCAAGGTCCTAAGTTCAATCCCGAGTACCAAAAAAACCCCACCAAAAACACCAAAAAAAAAAAAAAACCTCAAAATATTTCAATATATATGCTAATTTGTTTTATTTATATTACCAGTTTCTTAGTTCACTGAAAAGAAAAGTTTTGTGCTATTACCTATTTCTTTTTTATAAGAGTTTTTTGTCTATGACTTGTACTCTGAGTTAACATTTTGGCCATTCTTTTCAGATGATGGTACACAATGTATTAACTTGTTATTCTCTATTTTGTTAGGAAGTTTTGTTTTATATTTTTCACAGAAGTAAAAAGTGCTTTTCTATTTTGGTTAATATCTACATGTATTACATTAAAATAAAAAAATTAGCAATAATAATTAAATGAAAAAAATATAACAAAATACTTTTATTGTAAAAAGTTTAGACATTATATTTTAAAAATCAAAAAATTTTTCTGGGCTTGACCTAGGTCTCAATGATGTGGCTGAACACACCAACAAGGTCAAAATTGTAGAAAATCCAAGAGCTGCTATGATGCCTCCCTCTGAAAACGGTGAAGAAAACTGAGATCAGCCAGCCGGGATCTGGCACTGTGGTTCCTGCATGAAACCAGTGGCTGGTGGTGCCTGGACCTACAATACCACTTTTGGCATCAGTCAGGTTTACTATCAGAAGACTGAAGAAACTAAAAAACCAATAGAAACTACTATTTGAGTCATTCTTAGCCTATAACAAGTGGGTTAATTTATGTAACAAAATTGCCTGGTTTGTTGTTATATTAGACATTCTGATTTGCATTGCATTAACATTAGTCTCTGAAAAGAGATTTGGAAACTGAAGTCCTTCTAATTCGAATTGGAAAAATTTCCTGAGGTGGGTTATCCAATCTAATCTTTTTTCCTTCTTCCAGTAGTCAAATGATATAGCAAAAGAATATAAGCTTTACAGGTTAGATGTGTGCCTTAGTTTTGTTTTGTTTTCTTTCCGGTACCAGGGATCGAACTCAGGACCTTGCACTTGTGAGGTAGGCATGGTGTCACTATGCTAAATCCCTGGCCCTTCCTTAGTTTTTTATAAGCCTGTTCTTGAAAATTCAACTAGTCTGAGGCACACTGGTATAGACTAATGGTGGCAAACCGACAGCATTCTTGCTGCAGCAAGCTGTTTGTATCACTGAGAGCTCTAAAAGGTCCACCATCAGGGCCAGGGATTTAGCTCAGTGGTTCCGCTGCCTGCCTCGCAAGCACAAGGACCCGAGTTCAATCCCTGGTACCAAAAAAAAAAAAAAAAAGAAAGAAAGAAATAAAAGGTCCACTATCACTGGTATACACTATGCATTATTTTTGTTTTTAAGTACTATTTTTAAAATTTCTAAAATTGTAGAATATATTAAAGCAGACAAAGGATACACATAAAGAATAAATTTTGGGTAAAGCAGATATTCATGGTATGAACAGTACTTAAAAATATGTTCTTGGGCCGGGGATTTAGCTCAGTGGTTTTGCCACCTGCTGCGCAAGCGCAAGGACCCAAGCTCGATCCCCGGTACCAAAAAAAACACCAAAAACCAAAAACCAAACAAACAAACAAAAAATATGTTCTTACCTAGGTACTCTCGGATCATGCCATGTGCTCACACCAGTCTGAGTGTGTAAGAAATACACCTGACCTTGCTGCGTTGTCCTCTGTTCTGTAAAATAAAGAAAACTAGTATTAAAGTCAAATTTAGAATGTCTAAATCAAAGAAAGTTACATACACTAGGATGATATACTAACAGGGGAAATCTCCAAATTACCAATCTATTTCATTATGAAAAATGACTTCAGGGGCTGGGGATTTAGCTCAGTAGTTTCGCTGCCTGCTGTGCAAGCACAAGGACCCGAGTGCGATCCCCGGTACCAAAAAAAAAAGACTTCACAAATCATTTGTTCTGTCTCCTAGAAACAATTCCATAAATGGTGATGAGGATTACAGCCCAGCTATCTAAAAGCTAAACTAATAATGTGCCCAAATACTAAATATGTTGCAATGGAAAAATAGAAAACCAGATTGTCACAGTACCAATAATTAAAAAGACAAAAGAAATGATCTTTTACTCTTCTTCAATCCAGAGCCTGAAGGGACCAAAGGAAGGCTCAGAAGAAGAGGCTGGCCAACTTTGGGGAGACTCAGAGGAAGTTCTCAGGAACTTCAAAAGGGTTTGGAGGCTGATAATGCTTGTTTCTTCTTTTTTTGACATATTCATTTAAGGCTACTTTTGAGCTTAAACAGCTACAAAAAAAGATGGGATACAAGTAACACATTGTATAGTCATAAACAGGTAAATATGGAAAAATAATCAAATTGGAAAGAAGAGGGCTAAAGATCAAGAGTGCACATTGTGGGTAAAAACGTCAAAGGTGGGCTGGGGATTTAGCACAGTGGTTTCGCCGCCTGCTGTGCAAGTGCAAGAACCCGAGTTCGATCCCCGGTAGCAAAAACAAGTCAAAGGTGATGTGAGCACACAGCCCTTGGGAAGAGAGTAGAGAAGCCAGGGTGAAGAGAAAGAATCAGTAAATGAGTTTCTTCAATAGTGTTTTTTAGCCTTTGTTTTTTGTTTGTTTTTTGTTTTTGGTACTGGAGATAGAACTCGGGACCTTGTGGTTGCCAGGCAGGCGCCAGAACCACTGAGCTAAATCCCCAGCCCTAGTCCAGTTTTCAAACAAATTCTAACAAGAAATTTTAATATATAAGGCAATAAAATTACTGCTATATTTTAGTATAAGCTTAATTTGTTTAGAGATCCCATAATAAAGTCAATAAAATTAACTTCAAACTTTCAAAAATTATAAACATAAAATGTTTAAAATCAGTTATAGATGACAGCTGTAAAAATTTCAGCCTAATCTACTTCATTCCTGTGTTTCAGCTGCACAAAATTTATAAAATACAAATATACATAGGGAGGGGAGGGGGCTTGAGAGGGGGTAATGGGAAAAAAGAGGCAGGATGTTATCATGTACAGGTACAAATTCCCTATGATGAATGTTATCATTATGTATGCCTAAAATGTACCAATAAATGTTTTGCTGTTAAAAATAAATAAATAAAATCAGGATACCTTTTGTCAGTTTGCATTAAAAAATGCAAATTGCACAAATACTATAAAAGTATAACCATTCCTACTCTTAAACAGTTTGCCTTATAATATCAAAGAGAAATGGCAGGAGATACTTTAAGGTCTGAACATGGATAATTAAACAGCTCAAGTTTACTAAGTGTTTTCTATGCCAGATAGTGTCAGGTACTTATGAAATTTGTAATACTTTCTTCTTCCAAACCAACCTACACAGGTGGCACTACTATTTGCCTCATTTTATAGAAGATAAGGGTTAGGGATATATCTCAGTGGTAGAACACTTCACTTGCCGCCTAGCATGTGCAAGGCCCTGGGTACACTGTTTAAAAAAACAAAAACAAAAACACCTTTAAAAATTGAGGCAAAATAATATGCTCAGTAACATGGCAAAGCCAGGATGGAAATCCAGGTTTGTCTGTCTCACACTCTAATCAGTAGGCAAACTATTTTCAAATTAAAGAGCTAAAATATGTTTTTAAATAAAATTAGAATCATTCATTTGCATGATTAGGTTTTTGTTTTTTGGGGGTTTTTCTGGTACCAAGGATCAAACTCAGGATCTTGCACTTGCAAAGCAGGTGGTGGCACGGGCGGCGGCACCACTGAGCTAAATCCCCAGCCCATGATTAGTTTTTTAAAATATTCTAGAGTAAAAATATGGTAAAACTTAAATCAGGCAATTCCTAATGTTGGTCATTAGGTGTCACCATTAGCTCAAAGTAGTTTCATCTGCAGTCAGTGTAAGAGGGCAAGGATGTAAGTAACTTGGTTAACTTTAGCAAACATGCAGCAGTCAAATTTATAATATATGAGCATTCATAAATTGGGATTAATTTAGAAAGTTATAGATTAAATTAGAAGACTCAGGCCATCTTCCACATGAAATTCTACATTTCTAGAAAATTATTTAAGATTACAATCATATTATACAAACATTGAAGTGACTAAATTATTTGTAACAATCCAGTCACTCAGATAATCCAAAATTATAGATAATACAAATATAATAAACAAAGACCAACAAAATGATTTTTTTTTTGGTACTGGAGATCGAACTCGGGTCCTTGCGCTTGTGCAGCAGGCAGTGAAACTGCTGAGCTAAATCCCTGGCCCAACAAAATGATTTCTAAATATGTTTGTCTTGAAAAACACATTGCAGGTCTGACTTCAGATTGCCCTTATCTATAATAGTATTACCTTATTTTTATGCAATGCCTATTTGCAAAGTAGTCTCACTTCATTTCATATGCGTCACAATTATCTTTGTAATAAAGTATCACTTTTTTTTTTTTTGAGACTGGATCTCACTATGGAGTTCAGGCCGGCCTTGGACTTGTTATATAGTCTAGGCTGGCTTCAAACCCATGGTGATCCTCCTGCCTCAGCCTCCCAAGTGCTGGGATAGGCTCATCATATTTCATTTTAAAAGAGAAGGAAAGCTGAGGTTAATGACTAATCCAATGGTGAGCTGTTGGTTATATAGTCTTCTACCACCTCAAAGAGCTTTCAAACTTGGAAGGTGTTTTAGTTACTTTTTTGTTGCTGGGACAAAACATCTCACACCCACAAGTTAAAGAAGAAAAGGTTTATTTCATCTCACAGTTTGTAGAGGTTTCAGTCCACAGTCAGCTGGCTCCAAGGCAAGGTGGCATGGCAGAAGGGCATCCCAGAGGAGAAATAGTTCATGGCAGAACAGGCAGGAGGTAGTAGAGGCAAGCAGCAAAGCAGGAGCAAGCCTCCCTTCCCCCTTTATCACATCTAGGCTATAAGCCTTTTGGGTGGTGCCACCCGCACCAGGATGGGTCTTCCCATTATCCACACCCAGAACAATGCTAAACCAATCAGCAGACTAAGATATACCACACATCCTTAATCCCAGCATCACACATCCTAGATCCAGCCAGCTTGAAAAAGCTCCACCTGTGAGTGCATGAGGCTTTGTGGGACAACTAGATACAACCCCTAACAAGAGGTTTTATATTTACTCTTATTTTCAGACAGAATCTTTAAACTCAGATTAAAAACTTTTTTTAAATTACATTCTTTCTTAGCAAGGTGAAATTAGTAAGTCATGCTCTATTTTCTCTAATATCATACCATAGCCTTCTGGTAGGTCTGGAGGAGTATGTAAATGTGTCCTGCTCATGTAATTTCTATGTCGCTGTGACCTGACTCTCCTCTCTGCCAGCCTGGGATCTGAAGACTGTCCACATGTTGCACCATTTGTTCCACTAATTGGAGTGTTCTCATCAACAAAGCAGCTAAGAGGTCTGCCAGGACTAGAATATTCAGATGCCGGTCTGTTGAAAAGCAATAAGGAAAAATGTTATCAATTTAGATATCAAAAATAGATTTCACTAGAAAATATATACTACAGTAATATTCGCTTATTATTTAAGAAAATGGATTGACTGATACAAATACAATGATTTCAAGAACTCTAGTAAAAGCAAGCCTGAAGTCTCTAGGCACCAAAGAAACTGATGAGGTAAGAACATCAGTTATGTATTTAAATGGCTTTGATCCCCCCCGCCCCCGCCCGCCCCCTGGTACCAGGGATTGAACTCAGGACCTTGCGCTTGTGAGACAGGTGAAGTGCCACTGAGCTAAATCTCCAGTCCTATTTGATTTTAGATATAGATATAAATATAAATATAGACATAGATATAGACAGAGGTGTTTGCTGTTTTGTTTTTGGTGGTACTGAGAAGTGAGCCAGAGGCTCATGCATGGTAGGCCCAAGTGCTCTACCACTAATTTAGTTTATTCTGAGACGAGGTCTCACTAAAGTTGTTCAGGGTGAACCTGAACTTAAGATCCTCCTGCCTCAGCTTCCCAAGTAGCTGGGAATACAGGTATGAGCCACTGTATCTAATGATTTTAATTATATTTTATATAAAATCCAAATATATTTATAATTTGAGTACTGACTTACAAAGTATAACTCGACCTTGATATACCCTACCTCTTGGACCTGATTTCCTATGATTTGGCTTCTGTCACACTGATAGTCTTCCTGTTTCTTGAACTTCCCAAAGTCAGTTTATCCTTAGTCCTTGAAAACAGTACCTCTTCTTTCCACAGAATACTCTTTTCTCTTAATCTCTCTAGTCCTGGCTCTTTTTTGTTATTCAAGTGATAGTTTACATTTAAACAAGGTCTCCTAAGAGGTCCTTCCAATCTAAAAAAGTCCTCCAGTCATTTGACAGAACAAAAGTTCCCAAACTCATAATGGTTCGATTTAAGATTTTTTTTACTTTGCCCATGATGGTGGCACATGTCTGTAAACTCAGCACTCTTGGGGACTGAGGCAGAAAGGTCCCAAATTCGAGCCCAGCCTGAGCAATTTGGGAACACAGCAAAACCCTGCCTCAAAATAAAATGTAAAAAGGATTGAGGTTAACTAGGGAGAACAGCTCAGTGTGAAGCCCTGGGTTCAATTCCCAGTACTACAAATAAATAAATACATAAATAGAAATAGTTTTTTGAACTTAACAAGTAATGCAAAAGCCATCAGCAATCAATAGAAATTGTATTTCAAATTCATACTGTTTCCCAGACTAGCAAGTGATACACATAGGAACTCTCAAAATGCTGGATAATGGCAAGTTGCACCTCCCAGTTAGCTCTGTGGTCCTGAAGGCAAAGAAAGATAATATGCTGCTAAGATATGTTTGCTATACTAAGCATATTAAATGAATTCTTAACTAACAGGATTTTTATTTTTTTACTTACAGGATTTTAAATTTACAACTGTTTATTAGACATATCCCCAATCATTAAATTAAGGAGCATCTGTTCATTAACTCAGCTCCTCAGCACAGAATTTATTTTTGATATTTTTTCCTCTTTATTTCCTTGTTTCTCTCCATCTTCCCCCCACCAGAATATGTACTGAAAGAAGGGAATCTGCCTAGTTTATTTCCTACATTAAATATTCCTATCCCCTAGTGCTTGACATACATGTACAAATAGCTCATTAACATTTACTGAACAAATAAAAGAGAGATACTAGTTTGTCTCATGAAGGAAATTTCCAGTCTATTGTAGGTCTTCCAAAAGAAAAAGTTAATCAAGAATTCACTTTTAGGGCCGGGGATTTAGCTCAGTGGTTCTGCTGCCTACCTCGCAAGCGGAAGGACCCAAGTTTGATCCCTGGTACCAAAAAAGAGAATTCACTTTTAAACATAACAATCAACATTTTACACATGTGGAAATTAAAATTAATTTTATCTGTGAAATGAGATAGAAGGAATTGGGCTCCATTTAAACACTGACACAAGTGTACATTCACTCAGACTCAGATATAAGAATAAGTTATTCAACTTCAGTAAAATACCTGGCACTTTATACTAGACAAGCAACAGGGTGACCTATCAATCTTTCTTCATAATAACTTATAATAATAGCACCTAGCCAGGCATAGTGGTACACATCTGTAATCCCAGCACTCAGGAGGCTGAGGTATGAGGATCACTATGAGTTTGAGGGCAGCCTGTGCTACATATACATAGTGAGTTCAAGGCCAGCCTGAACTGCATAGGGAGACCCTGTCTCAAAAAATAAATAAATAATTTAAAAATAATAAAAATAAGAATAGCACCTAATAATCTATAATAGTATAAGCCAAGGGGAAAAACTCTGGAAAAGTTGAGAGATAAATGGGAGCTTCAAAAAGGTGACTAGCACAGACAATGGGAAATACTGTATGTTCTTACCTTGTTGGGCGTTCCCATTGTGTAGTTCTTGTTATGTGGTTTAGATATTGGATTCGTCCAGAGGCAGTTCTCCTTTCTTCCCAGCTTAAATAAAAACATTGACAGATAAGGCTTTACTGGTATTAATAGGAAGCTGAGACATGGAATGTTTTCAGTGCAATCACTAAGCCAGGAAGGTATCTGCTGCTCAAATCAGGAAGGCCAAATAGGGTTTTTTCCAACTTATTTTTTTTATTTTTGGTACCGGGGATCGAACTTGGGACCTTGGACTTGTGAGGCCGGAGGCAGAACCACTGAGCTAAATCCCCGGCCCTCCAACTTATTTTAGAACTGCACATTATATGGAATTCTGGAGTTTCTGAAATATCTACAATAAGATGTGACAAATATTTGCATCAGCCAAACTCCAAGGAGTTTTTAGTAATGTCAACATCACTGAAATTGTACTAATTTCTCCATAATTTTCTGAAAATGGCTCTGCTAAAAATATATTTACTCTGGGCCGGGGATTTAGCTCAGTGGTTTCACCGCCTGCTGCACAAGCGCAAGGACCCGAGTTTGAGCCCCA